TTTGATACCTAAATTTAAATTTTAATGTAAAATATCATTAAAAACTTTGTTTTTGGTTATTAAATTTTTTACTGTGATATTTTATACTTAAACTTTTCAAAAAGTTACATATTGGTCCAATTTTTAGATTTCACTTGAATTCATGAATCCATCAATCCATTTTATCCAAATCCATTAAATATAATTCACCAATCCATGAAATTCACAACCATAAATCCAATCCATCTACCATCTCTAAGTTTGGGTGATTAATCTATAATTAGCCAATCACATTTTTATTAGTCAATTCATTTGCTTGTTGGTTTGAGACTTTCCTGTTGTTGTGCAAAAGAAAGTCTTTGTCCTTGTTGTTTAGGGTTGTTATAGCATTGTGTATAAGTAGCGATAGCGGTCGAGTCATGTATATCAAGAAATTGAAATCAGTCATCAATAATATTTTCATTCGAGAGCTTCAAGCTCTACATGTATTAGTCTTGTTCACATTAAATCAAGGGTGAGTCATCCCAAAGAGCTCCACCATCTCCTACGGGGCCATGCCGACGCTTCTTCATCATCATCATCTGATGTTGGACCCTCTTCCTCCAGCAACATTGAGGCTCGAGTCACGACTTTGGAGGGCCATTACACCCATCTGTCGCTAGGCTCTACCAAGAGCAAAACTTCTGACGTCACTCTCAAAACATTAAGGAGGAGCTCCTCCGCGCTCAAGGTCTCCAGTTCGAGGCCCCGTATTGGCATCTTTCCCCTCCACACCAGGTGCAACCTCGCTAGGACGACGACCACAAGTCGTGAGTGCCAAGTTGGCATAGTACCAATACTCCACTTCTCCCCCTCGACTCTGGACTTTATTTCTTTTTTAGTGTGTTTGACTTTGAACTACATAGCTCTTTTGTTTTCTTGTGATGTTTGGATATTGTGTTTGTGTAATAACCTCGCCTTTGGCGAGCATGTGTTTGTGTTTGATCTTGTGTGTTTGTTCCTTGTGAAGCTCTCTCTCTCCCTCGACACTAGTCCAAACTCCACTCCGACTTTTGCTCGCCAATGATTCGGTAACTTCGTTCCACCCTTATTCTTGCTCTATTGGGGAAAATATCATGTTTAAGTGTGTGTATGGTGGTGGGGTGTTGAATATGTATGTGAATGGCGAGTGAATGCAAATGTTATGAATGGCCTATTCTTTGAATGAGTGGAGCCTTGTTATTGACCAAATTCCTACAATATAAGTGCTCCAAGCACTTGTGGATGAATGATTGAATGTTGGCCTACATTGAGAGTGTTTTGGAACCTAGGTTGTACGCTAAAAAATTAAAATTTTAGGGGTTTCGAACACATTGTCCCATACATGATTCCTACTCATTGTGCTTTGAAAAGTTTAATGTCGTGATGGTGTGCATTATAGGGAGTTGTGTGGAGCTGCGGAGATTATTAGTCATGAGTGGCTTTACTTCCATTACCTCTTGGTTGTGTTGATACTGTTTACTATCGAGGATAGGACATGCGCCTGAGACTCTCCCTAATTTTGGACTCCAAAAAGTTATGAAAAAGGTGCTCATGTTTTGAAAAAAGTTTGGGGAAAAGTGTTCATGTGAGAGGCAATCAGTCATAGTATTTAAGTTAACCTATCAAATGGCTTCTCTTTTGGGCAGGAGTGCCATTTGAGGATGTGTTTTTGGGGAAATTTTGAATAGCTTTCTAGCGTCCAACCTACACCCTACTACCTTTCCCATGTTTCGCCGCGAACACTCCTCCTCGCGAACTTTATTGAGAAGTTACGTACGTCTCATGCTAGATACTTCTTCTGCTAGAGTTTAGAGACACAACTTCTGAATATCTCACATGTGTGGCAACTCGTCTATCGTCTAGATGAGAGTGCAGGTTGGGAATCGGTGCTTGAGAGATACAGACTTACCATTTGCAATGCTTAACCTACCTAAACCCTTCTATCCTCTTAACCATCATTTTCCCCACATGAGGCATGAAAAGGGAAGTGAATGTTGCTTCCGCTCTCGTCCTGAGATCGAGCCTTGTCTTGAAAATTCAAATGTGGTGCCATGTTAGACAAAGTTGAGGCTCAAAGTTCGAGTCCTCTTTTGAAAAAAGTAGGAGAACCACCATGGAGTCCATTGCTTTTCACATGTTTTCTTTAGAGTCCCCTAGTGCACACGTCAAGTGTCTAGACCTCTTTAGTCGGCAAGGTCCTTATATGAGAGTGTGTTGTCACATAGAGATGGACATAACATTTTCTCATCTGCGATTGTCTTTGAGGTGCTATAAAAAGCTATATTGCATACCATTGTGAGTTTCTTGCATGTTGCACTAGTGTGAGTTATGTTTGCTTGGGGGTGAGCAAATGACTAACTGTGGGGGAGTTTGATTCGAGCCATTCTATACATGTTTTAACCCCCGTTGACTTTGTCGTTTGACTTGTATATCATCGTCCTTGGAGCTATTTTACTCTAGCTTTTATCTTGTTTTAGATTGTTTTAAGTCTCTAGCAGGTGAAATGGGCAAAAGGATCGAAAGTTAGACGAAAGGGAGCGAAAATGGGAAAAAGTGCTGGCAATTTCATGGATCACGATTCATGGCAAATTGTCACGGACGGTAGACCGTGAAGATTATAACAAAATTGTGAAGAATGCAAATTTCTAGTAGCGTTTGGACTTCTCGTAAGCATTACATGGATCACATGGATAGGGCGTGAAGAATACAACAAAACCATGAAGGGTGTAAGTGAAATAGTGCTTTTTGCGCTAAGATCATGGTTTCACTGCACACATTGCGGGTGTGACGGCAGACAGTGAAATGTGCACTGTCGGGTATAAATATGAGAATGAGCAGAGAGAGTAAGGGACAAACAAAAGAAGATTGGAGAGAAATTTGACCTACCCAAGACCAAAGGAGGCCAGATTTCATATTCAACGCCATCCCAAGCAACTAGGAAGAAGAAGGAAAATCATCTTTCTATGGGGGTTTCCTTCTCTTTAGATGTAGTTCTTTCTCTAGTAATGGTGTAGATTCTCATTTCACTTGGATGATGTGATCCTTAGTCTAAGATATTGTAGAATGATGATTGCGAACTCTATATTGTGATTGCCATGTTTGACTATATATTGATTGAGTATTTATCATTATAATTGAGAGACCTTAATCAATTCCCTCAATTTCAGGGTAATTAACCTAAGTGAGAGAATGTCTCCTTAACATAATTTGGGGCACTCTTCAACCATCATTAACAAGGGTGATTGGTTTCTTTCCTTCGTTCTGGGTCTTCGCCCGATGGAGTTGATTTGGTTGCCCTAATTGCCTAGTCCGGTAGTTCGGTACGTCTCTCCGATTAATGCAATTAGGCGGGTTAGGACAACTCTAATATGGACTCCTAACTAGCTTTGATCTTTTAACGGTATATATAATATGCAAATCACGATAAATTATCACATCATCGACTCAACACGGGACTAGGGGGATACTCATCCGAGTGAATCTTTCTCCCTTGAATTCAACCTAGTTCAATAGCTTAAAACAACATTTCTACCAGTAGATAATTTGGGGTTTGCTGAAGTAAGTATACATAAACCGCCCTAGTTTGATAATTTGAAAAATACTTGCTCTATATACCCTAATTGAGGTTCTAGTTGGCCATCAATTGGGAGTGTAGTTAGAACTTAGTCACTTCCCCCATTTCGGTAAAAAATTCTTCTCTAATCTTTATATAGCCTTTCTTCCCAATTTTCAATGAATATCTTCTCAAAGTTATGGTTATTGAAGATAGCTGCAAAGTCTAATTTGCTTTCGAGGCTGGAAATCTATATAATATGTTCACTTTCTTCTATGATTCCTTGTTAACTTTTCTTGTTTGTATACTGATTGGGCTTGTCTATTGTTCATTTCAAGAGTATTTGGTGAGTGATTATGGCTAAAGACTTGGGCAATTAGCTAGATTTATAAGGTACCTCATCTTTATTTTTTATTTTGTTATCATTAGACTTAGAACATGTTTATTAGTTGAATATTTTTTATGAATTGTGGACAATTACTAGTGGTTATATTGTAAGCCAAATGATGCGTCTGATTTATTGTTTAAATGTTATTTAGTTTGAAAGTTTTTTTTTCTTACAATTTTAGAACACTATGAATTCAGTGAAATATTTAGAATGTATGTTTTAAACCCACCCAACTCACCCACAGGTACATGAATGAGTGTGTGTGAGTCGTTTTAGGAATACAGCTCACGTAGGGAGTGGTTCCAAACCAACCCAAATCCGCAAAAGACCACCCACTGCTCACCCCTACTATTAAGCATCTCATTAAATTAACTTTATATCCAACTACTTCTTTTAGGAAAACATAAGTTGGAGTCTTTTCTTCCAATCTCCAAATTTCATACAATTTTCCAGTATTATTTCAAAATAAAATGAAAAATGGAACTCATTGTGCATTATTAAGTAATGTTATTGCTTGATATATAGTGAATGTAAGTTGTGTACGAGTAATATTACTTTGAAATTTACCACAAATAATCGTAGATACTCTTGTAGTAATAATAAATACAAATAAGATAACAATAATCTCAAGAGGGTATAGACTCTATAGAGTATAGACACTCACTACAGCTGGGGGTAGTCGGATTCAGAGCCAGCCAGCCATCCATCCGTGCATACAAAATAATAATAATAATAATAATAATAATAATAATAATTATTATTATTATTATTATAATAATAATAATTAACTTAATACAGAGATCTCATCCCGACCCACCTCCAACCAAATTAACCAAAACCAACAAAACCACAAATGAAATGAAAAGTAAATAAAAGAAACAAAAAAATCAATAAAAACCAAGCAGCGCACCACTCTTATCCCCTTCCTTCCTTCTCCTCCGTTCTTCCCTCTTCCAGTTCCATCCCTCCACCGCCAAGCTTTCACCCGAAGGCTGAAAACCCAATCTGTTGCAGCGCAATAAGAGCTCGGAAAGCAGGGTTAAAAAAGAGCCCAAAACCATGATCAAGATATCCGCCAAACCCATATCAAGCCCGGGTCGGGCGGAGAAGTACTACCCGCCGCCATTGATGAGGTTCCTGAGAAGCAATGTGGGGAACAAGAGCCGCGGCAGGTCTCGCTCCAGCCCCTTGTTCGTCAGGAAGCGGAACCCAGCCACCGCTATTGAAGCTCCCGAGCCCTCTTCCCCCAAAGTCACCTGCATGGGTCAGGTTCGGGTCAGGCGCCAGACCAAAAAGAAACGCCTCCGGGGCTCCGATTGCAACCGCCGCAACTGGATCCCCGACGCCCTCTTCTTCTCCTGCTGCCACGGCGGCGGTAGTTGTAGTAGCCTACGAGGGAAGAAAAAGAAGAAGAAGAAGAATCCCCGTGGCCGCGGGTGCTTCCGCCGCCCGGCCTGGCCCGAGTGGACCCGGTTCTTCCGGATCGGGTCAAACCGGAAGTCCGAAATCCGCGAGGACAGAAACGACACGGATTTGGGAAGCTCCCTGGAGGAAGAGGAGGAAGGAGAGGCGAGGTCAGTGGGCGCCGCGAAGGTGTTCGCCTGTTCATCGCCGGCGAATTCGCCGCCGAGGAACGCGCTGCTGCTGATTCGGAGCAGATCTGCGCCGTACAGGTCGTCGTCTCTGGCGAGCCGGTTTTGGGGGTCGCCGGTCGGGAGCGAGGAAGAAACGGAGGAGCGGAAACAGAGCACGGAGCAAGACTCGAGCCTGACATCGAAGAGGGAATCTTCTTCTTTCGAGGAGGAATCCGACAAGGAATCGAGGTTGGATCCGGAAAACGAAGAGACCAGGTTGGGGGTTTTCAAGGATTTCGAAGGCTCCGTGGAGTCGGTGGTCAAAGAAAGATTAATGGAGCAAACAGCCGCAACGAAGCTTGAAGAGGAAGAAGAGAAAGTAGGGGAATACGCCGAGGCGATAACGTCGCCGCCGCGGCGGCCGGTTGTGCTGACGAGGTGTAAATCCGAGCCGGCGAGAATCACCGGCGAGAAGCTGGATCCGGAGGTGAGTTTCTGGAAGAAGAGGAGGTTGGGGTTCACGTGATTTGATTATTTAATTTAACAATTAGTGAAGGGCCTACTCCTGCAATTAATTAATTAACTATATGCTTTTGTTGTTTTTAATTTTTATTTTGGGGCAATTTAACTGCACATATTCTAGTTTCCAATGCTGCTGCTGCAGCATTACATTACATATAAAGTTAATTAATTTGTAATGTATTAGCTTAATTATTTATCATGAAAAGAAATTGTAAATCTAATGGGCTGGTTTTGAATAATTAATTAATATCTAGGGGTTGTATTGTACGAGAGAATCTCTACATAAGAAGAAAATAAATATTTTTTCCCTCCCTAAGTGGGAACTGGGAACTCAAATACTCAATGGCTCTTTCTTGCTATCGCTGTCTGAAGTGATGAGTCCACCGCGCTGTGTCTGCACTGTGTTTTTTTTTTGGCAGTTGTATTTATTGCTTCCTTTTGAGGTGTTAATTAATGAATTTACAATCTAGTTTGTTTAAATGGGATGAAATATTATCATTTACCGGGGGAAATGGATGAAATATTTGACATGTAGAAGTTAATTATTGGCGTAAAAAGGTTTCCTTTATTTGTCTGGTCTGACTCTGACGGCTGCTATCAATCTGGGATGCTTTTCTATGTAATGGCATGGGGTTGTTCTGATAGCTACTTTTGGATTGATTCTCTCTGACTTCTTCGCTTGCTTTCTCTATTTTATTAATAGTTGGGGTTAAATAACATTTTTATCACTAAATTTATTAATTATCTAATTTTTTTTATTTATTGCTATAGCGTTGGCTGATTTTGTATTTGCTTTGCATTATTTGTTGGGACGGGATAGAATAACAACACTTTGTTATAATAACAACAGGGGTAAAAGGGTCCATTAACACAATATTTAACAAAATAAAATTTAATTAATATATATATTTGTTTGTCGCCTCCCCTTCTCCGCTTTCCCTATCCCTCAAGTCCGACCCGAATTCCGCCTCCCCTGTCCCGTCGCTGGGTGGTTCTGCTCTCCCTCGTTTAAAAATAAAGAAACAAAATGAGCAGTAAAATAATGAACTGGCCGTAGGGTTCTCAACCCTTCGATGCCGGCAAATCGTCCGAATCCGCTGTCTTTAACGCTGTCGAACGGCAGCGACTGAAACAACGGCAATATTCTCTTTCTTTATTAACCTTCAAGCTCTGCAAGTTGAAGGTGAGGATCGGGAAGAGGCTGAGGAAGGGCGTGGTTTTGAGCATGTCGGTGGCGAGGTTGAGGATATACCGGATGATCAGGATTCAGTGGAAGCGGTTGTTCGGCGGCCGCTTAATCGCTGGCGGTGGTGGTGGTGTTCTTCCTGCTGCTGCTGTTCGGACTCCGGAGAGAGAGAGGAAGCGTTCTGATGGACTCTCCTCACTTGTTTGGTCTGGGCCCAGCTCCCAGAGCCCACGGCGAGATAACTCGGCCTATGAACTTATCCTCTTCTTCCGTTTGGTTTAATTTTTATGTGAGGCTGGTTGCTGATCATTAATTCCATTAAGTGAGGACTCAGGAGGTCTAGTTAGACTGACCATTAATTCCATTAAGTGAGGACTCAGGAGGTCTAGTTAGACTGTAATTCTTCACAAGGGAGCTCCCAGAGCCCACTTGGGAGACTGTAATTCCATTAAGTTGTTTGTGGTATTGATTTTCAGATGTTTTTATAAATATTATGTGAATTTTGGTATGTATTTTCAAGTTATTGGTATGTTTTAGAAGATTTTCGGTAAAACTTTCGATCGTTAATATTTATAATTATATTTATAAAACACACTAGAAACCTTCTAATGCATACCATAAATCTTTCGAAACATACCAAAAACATTACAAAGTAGACCAAAAATATTTCTAATCCACTCTATATACCTCCTAATGCATACCACAATTTTCCTAAAACATACTAGAAACACCACAAAGCAAACCACAACTATTTCTAAAACACACCAAAAACCTCCTAATGCAAACTACAAATGTGATAAAACAAACCACAGTAAAGTAAACCAGAAACCTCCTAATGCAGTCCACAAATTTCCTAAAACAAACCACAAATCTCACAAAGCAAACCACAACATTTGCGAAAGCACACCAGAAACCTCCTAATGCAAACCACAAGCACGGTAAATCAAACCACAAAAAAGCAAAACCTAAAACGTCCTAATGCAGACCACAAATATATTAAAACAAACCAGAAACCTCACAATGCAAACCACAAAATTTTTGAAAGCAAACCAGAAACTTCTCAATGCAAACCACAAACACGATAAAGCAAACCAGAAACTTCTTAATGCAAACCACAAACACGATAAAGCAAACCACAAAAAGCATACAAAAATATGAGAAACCAAACCATAAATCTCACAATGCAGACCATAACATCCGGTGGTCGTTGGCCGTTGACCGGTCAACGAAGACCGTTGACCAAACTCCGATGACCGTCAGTGAGTAGATTCCGGCGCCGATAGGCATATTCCGGCCCCGATGACTAGATTTCGACACCGGTAAGCATATTCCGACCACGGTGAGCATATTCCGGTGACGGTGGCATATTCCGATGACAAAAAAGCATATTCCGGCGACAAAAAAGCATATTCCGGTGACCGGCGACCAGATTCCGTCGACCGATGGGTGAATTCTGGCGACCAAAATTTTGGGCCGAAAAATAAAAAAATATTTTTATATTTTTATTATTATTTAAACAAATTTTTCATAATGACAATTATACCCCTGCTTTGATTTTACACTAGGTCAACTCATCTAATAAAAAGTCATCACAACACTAGCTTCCTATTGGTTGGAGACTAGTGTTGTTACAATAACAACACAAGAGGTGTTGTTATCGTAACTGGTCCCATATTTGTTACCCTTTGGTTCAAATCAATTATCCTACTTTAACCGTTAAGTGAATGACATGACAATTAATCCGAAAATTGGTTTGGGATTTTCCTCTCTTGTGGTGTAAGCTGAACGGCTACTGAGCTAGCTAGCTAGCTTGCAAGCTGGCTTCAGAAACACTCCAAAAATACCATGCACGGCAGACGCACGCCATTCCCTCTGCCTGCCTTTTCCATTTCATTGCGTTGCGTTGGTCTTTTCCGGTGAAAAAAAGGTAGCAAACAAAACCGCTCTAGTCCGGTAGTCAGCCTCAACCATCATTTTTTTGTCCTTTTGATTTGTCGCAACTGTTGTGTGCATTGCCTTGGATAATAAAGTTGGGGCTTAGCTTGCATCCGCCAAGCATCTCCCGGTGTTCCGGTCTCTGTATTGAATTGCATATCAAAGAAAGGGAAAATGAAGTCGAGGAGTCCGATCAAACCTCAAACCTGTATTTGGTCCAATTTTTCAATTTTGAGCAATGATGGGTTAATTGAATTGTTCTCCAACATGAACAAACCACCACCGGCGGCAGCTTAAGTCCCCTGTTTTTTCTTGCTTTCCTTTCCTTTCATGCTCTTGCTGCTCCTAGCTTCGTTCTTGGTGATTTTTCCTCGGATTGCAGTCGTGTTATCTTTTTCCAGCCGATATGCCCTTCAAGTTTTCACCTTTGGCTCTTGTTGAGCTTTATTCTCTTCGTTCGTTGATTGGGGTTCTTGTTCGGGGCCTGCTCTTCTTGGGATATGAAGTTGGCAGCTTGGGAGCCTCGTGGTGCTCTGTTTTGGTGGTTGATGTTCCGGGGGCGGGTGGTTTCATTTTTTTGGTGAAGCCATTCCTTACGTTTCCCCTTCCGATCTCCCCTTGTTGTCTGAATGCTGCGTGGTCGTTGGTCGGATTGTGGTGGGTGTCTAGGTGATTTTGGCTCTTGATTGGTATTTCCTAAGAGTTTGGTGGCTCGATTTCGATCTTCTGCTCTCCGTGGATTGACCTCTCTACGTCAGACTCCATGTGCCTTTTTCAGATTGGAGCAATCCGTTTCACATCCTTTCCCACCGTCATGTAATTTCATTTTTGAGATTCACTGTGTTGGATGCCTTTGAGTTTTACCCAGGAGGCGGCTTATGGCATTGCTGTGCTTAATCGCCATGGACTTCGGTGTGATCGGATGACCTGATCTTGATTTTGTTGCTACTCTGTTTGGTTCAGAAGCGAGAGAGATTTTGGATATTTTGGTTCATGGATCAAGTGTTCGGTCCCTTCGGATGGTTGACTTCACTAAGTGTTTTGCTCTTATTTGATGCATCTCTCAAGCACGGTTTGTGTCAACCGTTTGCTCTGAAGTGCCTTTGTTTGGTTTTGATTCCATTGTTGTTCATTTTCCCACTCAGTAATCGATCATTCATAGTGCAATGCAAGATTTTCCACTGTAAAAAAAACCTCAGGAAGATCTCCAAAGGTTCAACAATGGTTGGGAGAGAGATTTGTTTCCAGAGGATGAAAGGGCTTACAGGGTTTGTGTTCGTTTCAAGAGAATCTGTTGATGTGTGACTGTTCTAGAGTTCTTAGTATCCTTCGAACCCTGCTATTACTCCCGACTTGGTTGGGATAGTTGCATTTCCTATGAAACTAGTTGAGGGAAGCATTGGAGGAAATGATCATCATAAGTCCATCGTTGAAGATGAAGGACTTAAATGGTTCGAAGGATTCACAGTAGAGAGGAGTAGAGGACCACATCAACATATTCTCTCAAAGGTTAGATCTCTAAAGCTTCCACACTGCCTGTTTCCCGATGATACATTGGTTTTTGAGGAAACCTATGTGTGGGAGGCAACAAAGATTTGAATATCATCAACAACTACAGTCACATAACGGAACAAGAGGTGGACATGGAGAAGTCCTCTGTTTTTTTTGCCTAAAAAACATCCCAGATATCATCAGAAGCCAAATTATAGCCCACCTTGGATTCCCACTTGCGATTAATCTTGTCAAATACTTGAGGTGTTCCAACGGGGTGGGCGAGATCTAAGAAAGAAACTTGATCGTTATCAGAAGAAATTCAAGTTCATAAGAGCTTACTGAAATGTGAGTTGGAAAAAACACTCCTTATGTAAGAGATTGCTTGGCGTTAGAAGTATAAAATGAATGTGTTTTCAAAGCGTCACCGAGCGACGACATACTGGGATCTGGGATGCGACATCAATTTGGGCGACGAGGAGGAGATATCGAGAAGCTCTGGCGGTGAAGGCAAGTGCGGACTTGCGGAGTTGGAGGGAAGAAGATGGAGCGATATGCTCTCTAGCCGTCGATCGGTAGAGACTCGGTTCTCTTTCGGTGCGGTGAGGGTTCGATCGGCGGCGACGGAGGTGGAAGATGTGTTGTCGGCGATTTCTGGATTTGAGGGTTTCGAGTTTTGGGTTTGGGGCTGCGATTTCGGCGGCTCGATCTGTAATCCAGAGCTCACAGCCTGGAAATCGAGTAGAGTTGCAAGGGGCGAACGGTGGAGATATGAGAAGTAGTTTATTTATTTTTATTTATTTGCTTAAGTGGTATGAAAAATAAAAAAATTATGGATCTTTGAGGTGGATCACCGTTAGAAAAAAGTTAACGATAACATAACGATAGCCAATAGTTTAACCGATGACAATACGTTTGGCTAATTAATAGTATTTCAATAGGTTTGGCTGAAATAAAAGAATCCGAAAAATGTTTGGGTATAAATAAGACATTGCCAGTAATAAAACATTGAAAAATATGAGCATATTGTTAAATGTTAACTATGAATTCTGATAACTAAAGTTCAAATGGATGAATAACCTATAAAGGCCATTTCAAGTAAAAATATTCATTTGCTAATATTTTTTATTTTTGTCTCTTTTAAGAATATAAATTTAATATATCTATACTAATATTTTTATATTTGCTTTACATAATTGTCCAAATAATCTATTTCCATACCACATATTTTTCTCTTTTCCTTGAATTTTTGTATCTTTAAACTATTTAAATGCAATACATCTATATTTTCTACATTATTTCCTTTTTAATTCAATAGATGACAATACACAATATATAAATCAAAATAGTGATATATTAATTATTTTCAAAGCTTCATTTGCAAGCTAATTATTTCACATATAACGAAAATAAAGCTCTTTGTTGAAATTTGTTGTTTTGATTCAGTGATGTTTAATATCTCAAGGCATGAATATAGATTCTAGATAACTTTTCATTTCATTCGTTGTCTAACTTAAAAACAAAAATTCAATAAAAATTATAAAATTTATGGGCACTAAAAAACATAAACTATCAAGGTACTCTTTCGCACCACCACCAGTGCATGATACTAAAAATTGAACCACCTACGGTTAACTAAAAAAAATACCCAAATGACCACAAACCGGCCAACGGACTGAATACAACACTAGCATGAATTATATAATCATTAAACTCTCCCGGCTAACAAGCTAAGGCCTGTGCTAATTAACCTATCAAAGTTATACACGTGTATGTATATACAGTAAAATTGGAAAGCCTTCCAACGTATCTTCATCATTAACCAAAACGGTGCACTTCACTTGCTCTTCTTGTAGACGACATCGTTGAGTGTCTCTGCCTTCATCTTCCTTTCTTATTCATATTTCATAGCGAAGCCTTGAATTCTTTGTGCAGCAGAGCGGTTGGATTCTTCATCCATCTTCTCTGTTAAAGAGGTCGAGTAAGAAGAAGAAAAAACAAAGTAGAGGGCGCGGAATTATAAGCTCGCTACGTCTGTAACTTTGACCGAGTTGTTAAATTAATTAAAAGATTGCTTGGAGATAAACAAATGAGATTTAGATAAATTTAAGGTTATGCACCAAATTCGTTCATATATACTTGTAGTCTCAGTGTCTCACCATAATGTCGTCACCTCGGAGGAGGTGGATGTTCATTTACACCAACAGTCCGACCGGGCGGACGTTATGCATACGGAGCACAACTTTCTGGTGTGTGTCCTGAGGAGAAACACTGTCTCGTTGATTTCATTATATCCTTTGCACTAAAATTGAATGGACTGTCGATTACATGTGAAAAGTTGGTTGGAACTTTTTTTCCTTTTGATGGTCTAAAAAAAACTGGAGTTCAATTATAAGGTGATGATTATTCAGATCGACTCGACACAACTGCATGCAATTAAATCTGGTGGTTCAATCGACCGACCGGGAGCTAGCAATCGTTTCAGAATGAATTCGATCATAGGGATGGCGGGTTGTGTCAGGTTTCTCTAAACCCGATTTCAATCAAGCGAGTATATCCGTTGAAAAAATTCGATAAAATATTTAATGGGGTTTAGAAGTGAAAACCTAATTTATTCTAATTGGTACAGTGGTACCCACGGGTTGCATGGATTCCCATGAGTTCACGAATATAATCATTAATCATACATTATTTCTTGAACACTTATATCGTAATGTATCGAAATTTGTTTAATTGCATACTTACCCATGAATTCGGATTCAATTGTCATCATGCTTTTACATTCTGCTGACTATAGGATACGATGATTAATTTGATCTCCAGTCACACCGATCAGTACGTAATTTGGCCATCCAGCAACGGCATAGCTGTAATTGGATGGACCCCAAAAATTGAGACACCGCATTGAAAGGTGGGATATCATGTTCACCGTCCGCATTAAAACAGAATTGAAAGCACTTGATAATTACCATTTTAGCTAGGAACCATCCATCCCAAGAATTTCAAATTATGAACTTTCTATTATCAACAATATTGTTAACATGGATAGAAGAACACTCTTCCTAGTTCCTTCTATATGACACGACAAATTAAGTTTGCTCGTAACAAAAATCCCGATTAAAACATAATTTTTTATTGTATTGAAATTTTCGTACGAACTTGTATCATGTGAAATCGATCTAGCTAGCTAGGTATCACATACTAGATCTTAAAACGCACGAAAAAAGAAGTAATTAGAAGTAGGTAGATAGAGTGCATTAAATGCTGCTCGATCGTAACTCAATCAAAGCCAACTCACGTCCCACAGACTCACTCAACTTATTGCTGTGTCGACTGTGACCATTCCCCATTTCCATCGCTTTAATTAATTAATTACATAAAAATGTGTCCGTCCTAAAATATAAAGTGAAATGTGTATAAATATATGGAAGGTATATTATTTGGATGGTCATCTCTTCGTTTAGTTCTATGGAGCTCAGAAAACACTACTACCGCTGCTGCTGCTTCTTCTCTCCCACTGGCACTGCCACTCTTGTCATGACGATGATGACGTGTCTTCTTCTTCTCCTCCTCCTCAATTCCAACAGTACTGTAATCGCGGCCTCCTCTTCCTCCGCTGCCACAGGTTCGTCAAATCCTAGGTTTTTGTGACGTCAGCTGGATATTTTTTATTGTCATCTTTTTCCTAATTTTGTTTGATGACGTCAGGGCAACTGCATCCGACGGCGGCGGCAGAGGAGGGGGTGTACGACATAGATTACAGGGGACCGGAGACGCACTCTGCGGTTTTCCCTCCGCCGGGTCACTCTCAGATTCAGGGCAGGCCTAATTTCCTTCACCGCCGCACTACTGGCGTCGCACCGGCCGCCGCTATCCCGGTCACCAGTCGCCGTCAGCCACCGGATCAACACAAGTACTGATCCGCTATCTCGGATGTGCTGTGCAGATCAAAGCAAAGGAGGCGTTTCACTCACCAGAGCAAGAAGCCAACATGAATTAATCAAAATTTTCTGCCAGTTTCTTCTCTCTTTTCTCCTTCTTTATTTTTGCCCTTTTGTTATCGGATCATGATAATTATAGTTATTTTTTTTTTATGTGATATAAATTATAGTTCTAGCGAGAGAAGGCAGGTACCGGGAACAGAGGATGTTGCTTCTGTTCAGACCAGAAAAAAATACAGAGAGAGATAGAGCTATTAGCTATATACTATAGAGCTCATGATTCCTGGAAATTTTGATTTTGTTTTCGTTTTCAATATGTGTATTGATGTGAACAATACCCTTCTGATAACAATTAAATTTGTGTTACTTAGTATTCTAGTTTAGGTGTATGTAAGTCGTAATTAATTATCATTTTCCTACTATAACTGCTACATATCATCATATCGGTGTCATTTGAATTTATTGGATCAATCCACCAATCCATTTGATCCACCAATCCATGAATTTAATCTATTTGCCGCCTCTAGACAGAGCTCATGAGCTCCTTAATGAGTCAAGATCAATCTCAACTCGTTTCTTATTGGGGGCAAGTTTAAGTTTAGGCAAAATTCGACCCAATTCGACTAGTTAAGAAACAAGACAAGCTCAACCTCAACAAAATCTGCTCGACTCGGCTCATTTTGCTTCCCCATCATAAGGTGGTATTTGTCTTGTGGGTCACATTTGTATATTTTGAGGACTTCTGGTTAGGTCCAAACATTATAACACTTCGCTATTAGGTAATGAATCCGATTTCATCATTATATAAATAAATCTCTTGATAGGTTTGACTATTGACCCCTTATTTACCTGGTTATAATAAAATAAAATAAAATAAAATAAAAAAGACTATTGACCCCTTATTTTTTCTGTTCCAATTTTTTCCTTCTCTAACTCTCTCGAGCAAGGTTGTCAACCCGCGGGTCGACTCGAGTCCGGTGAGAAAAGCGAGCTGCACGTACCCGCCGGGTCGACCGCTACAAGGTACCGGGTTGGAGGTCAAATTGTGTAATATTTTTCTTTGGTTTGCGAAATGCGCCTATTTTCCGATTTTTCTTTTCGCCCAACTCCATTTTCGGAATCATAAGTTGAACATTTGAATATTGATGCTCTATAAGTGTGTGTGAATTTTCACTATATGTTGGATCTATGTACGACATGTTATTTTGGTGTAATATTATATGTTATAACTAAGTATAATATAGGGTTAATATCATTTTGTACCCCTCTACTATTTCAAATTAACAAACATAACCCTCTACTAAATTTTTGCATAAAAATACCCTTCTAATATTAAACCGTAACAATAACCCTTCCATCTAATTTCCCCTTAAGTGACCGTTAAATGGCTGGAAAATTACCAATTGCCCCTCATTTATCCCTAATTTGAGTTATAGTTATTTTATTATTTATATCAAAGATCAATTAGTTAGAAAAACAAAACCCTAAACTAATTCAGAAGCACTCCGGAGACCGTCCGTCTAGCTGAACTCTCCCCTAGCAATCAGTCATTGGACTCGACGTCGGCTTCTGCTCCCGCATCCCCTTGCTTGCATCTGCTTCATTACGGCCGCCATAGTAGTACTGACGAGTGATGATGATAATGATCAACAGCCTCGTTGAAGGAATTTAATGGGAATAGCTTATGCGTTTCTGTCACTCTTTTAGCTTTTGCTGCTGCTGGCTCTTCGTTATATTGGAGCTGCCTGTTATGGCTCATCTCTGAAAATTTTGCACCAAAATAAATGAACCCATCTTTAGTAACGACTTGAAAGCAACGACGCGACGACGCTTCTGGCGCTCGTGGGCCTTGTTGTTCTAGAACTAGCTAGTAGAAGATGGACGGCGGGAGATGCGGGAGCAGACGACGTCGTCGAGTAGCAGGACTGATCGGCAGGGGAGATTTCCGGGAGATGAACGGTCCCCGGAGTGCTTCTGAATTAGTTTAGGGTTTTGTTTTTCTAATTAATTGATATTGGAAATAAATAATAAAATAATTAAAACTGAAATTAGAAGTAGATGAGAGGCAACTTGGTCATTTTCTAATTTCTAACTCATTTAATCGTCACTTAATGGAAAATTAGATGGAAGGGTAAACTTGTAACTATTTAATATTAGAATGATATGTTTGTGCAAAAATTTAGTAGAAGGGTACGTTTGTTAATTTACCATAGTAGAGGGGTATAAAATGCTAATAACCCTATAATATAATGACTCTTTCCATATTTCCGGGCTAAACCAGACTAAAACATATGACCCTTTAACCTTTGATTCACTAGCTCGATCGGGTCCGGGTCAACCCGCGGCTTCACAACCTTGCTCTAGAGTCTGGTCTCTTCCAAAATTTCTAGCATCGATTTTTCAAATTCCTCCTCCAGCCCTCATTTGCCTTCCCTACCCGTCCATCAATCTTTCTTCTCCATTCGCACAAATCCCTAATCGCTTAGCCCCACTTTCTTCCTCTCCCCGCGCCCGTCCTCATCGCCAAATCTCTTTCTCCAATCAAGACAATGGCTCAAACCAACACCGCCAATACCCTCGGCTCCTCCAATGACGATCGCGAGGAATCAAGTCCTCTCTTGAACATGGCGACCACCGAGGAAGAACAAGTATCCGATAACAAACCCACCAAAGTATCGGCCGCCACCGACACCAAACCCGCCGCCACAGCCGCTTCTCCACTGGCAAAATCGGCAGCAGCTGGGCAGGGAGGTTCCGCCGCCGAGCATGGGTGGACGACTAATGGATTGCCGTTGGGTCACGGAAGCGTGGTGGGGGAGCCTATGGGCAGGGCGCAATGGGATTCAGGGATCTGCGATTGCCTTGGCCGGAACGATGAATTCTGTAGCAGCGATCTTGAAGTCTGTAAGTCTTTCGATTAGTTTCCATCTTTTTCTCGTGCTTAATTTTGAGAGATTTGCTTCCTTATTGATCTCTGGGAATTGGGATTTTCCCGAGTTCCGTATCCTTGACAAATTGAACCGTAGGAGAGACTTGGATCATCTGCTTAATTGCAGGAATAATGGGAACTTTCTGTTCAATTCTCACGAAAATGAAGAATGCGCTATTGTTTCAATATTCACCCTTTTTGGGTATATTTGTTTAGAAAGAGGCTAACTACAGCGTAATATGTACCCTTGTCATGATTATCACTTCATCCATTTCCCTGAACTTGGTCTAAGACTCTAATTCATGACGATCAGCAAATGTATGTCATGCCCATGATTCATGGTGGTCAGATAATATATGTCTTACCTTTGATTCATACCGTCCCATTCATCCTGTTGTAAGATGAAGGATGGTTTGGCTGCGACTCGATGTAATATGTTGTTACGCGTTATGTTAATAATGAGATGATTTGTGTTGCAGGTCTTCTTGGCAGTGTAGCCCCTTGCGTGTTGTATGGAAGCAACGCTGAGAGGTTGGGATCAAGTCCAGGAACATTTGCAAACCATTGTTTGCCTTACACTGGCCTCTACTTGATTGGCAACTCTGTGTTCGGTTGGAACTGCCTTGCTCCGTGGTTTTCATACCCCAACCGCACTGCAATGCGCCGCAGGTTTAACCTCGAGGCAAGTTCATGTCTTTTCCCACCATCGAGTTTGAGCTTCTTTTCTTTTTCTACTAGAAGTCCCTTTTTTTCTTTCTATTAAAGGCAAGTGTGTTGTTGTTGTTGTTGTTGTTGTTGTTTTTGGGGTTTGGATGAACAGGGAAGCTGTGAGGCAGTGAACAGGTCGTGTGGATGTATTGGAAGCTGCATTGAAGACGAGTTCCAGCTTGAACAATGTGAGACTGCATGTGATTTTTCTACTCATGTTTTCTGTCACCCATGCGCCCTTTGCCAGGAAGGCCGGGAGATTAGGCGCAGGGTGCCTCATCCTGGCTTTAAACCTCAGCCCATGCTGGTTATGCTCCCTCCCGGTTATCAGACCATGGCTCGCCAGCCTTGAATCTCTCTCACTGCTCATCATTTACTTAGAGGAGGTCATTGTTGGATGTTGATAGCTCCTACTTTCTCACTGCCCTCCCGGGTCTTGGCATCTTTGCTGGATCTCAAACGGTGTCTGTCTGGCTTGACGGTCCTTGGTAGAAGAATATATGCTGACAAAGTTGGTGTCCTTCTTTTGTACTAAGCATGTAATGGTTTACTTACTATATTGTGCTCTTGCTACTTGGTTTGGTCCACGCATGTAATGGTTACTATTTTATAACCGTGTTCTTCCTGTTGTAATAAGATGATGATGAATGTAGGAGACTGGCTTGGAAATTACATATTAATAAAATGCAGTTGTGTGATAGCTCATAGCATACTGCTTATTATTTGGTTATTAAGTTGCTCCCAGCTTACAGGATCTGTTTTGGGCGGAGTCCTCTGCTTGTAGATGGCCGCCCAGGCTCTTCCTTTCGATCTTCGGAGACTATTTTTCTCTGGCTTTCAGCCTCCTTCCAATAAAAAAAAAAATACTGCATAACCAAAAGCAGCAGTCGACAAATAGTCAGAATTATTTATGAGAGAGCGTTTTGTGCCACTAAGCGGGTTTCCCTATTAAATTGACGCGGAGTAGAAGTACAAGAAAAATAAACAAAAAGCAGAGATTGCCCTTTCTTTCATACCTTCCAAGGATCTCGCAATCATGTGATGACCCGCCTCCTCTCCGCCTCAACTCTTTTTCCTTTCACAACTTCACACTCCAATTCCTTCCGCGTGTTGCTTTAAGATGCCTACCGTAGAAAACTAGAAATCACCAAGGTCGGAGAAGTCATGCTCTATACTAAGAATTCAGAGTCAAAAGAATACAGTAACCCAATTTTGTTAACAAGTGAGAAAAGTGAAAAAGTGAATGGAGAAAAATAAATTAGTGTTTAGTTTGAGTAACCACTCAATTACATTTTCACTATTTATTTTAACATTACCCTTCCTATCATTGCGAGATTAAAACATAAACCATATAATTGTGTATTCGAAGAATTGCTCTTAGTGAGACGGGTATGAATATGAAGTTGAGAAGTCTAAAATCATACTCGTCTCATTTCCATTAAACTTTTTTGCGATTTTCACCCTTATCAAGTCAAAACAAGGATTCCTCACATTGATTGAGTCGGGTGCGCTCGATTACCCACAGTGATGAGTTTGATTGCTATCCCTAATCTTAGCTCTCGCACTGAGTAGGTGACAATTTAATACCTAATACTGACTGTTCCAAATGGGTACATTACATACATTAGAAGGAAAACGGTAAAAAGTAAATGACCAGCACTTTTAACCCCAGTAACGCATATGTTTGATCAAGAAAATGGAGACGGACACATGATAATTTATGTGCTTTAGTAGTCTTATTTTCGAGTTTGGTTACATGTAGATAAGTCCAGCGGCCCGAAATGGTGGCTATGTGACGTCAGCTGTCCATAATACTTTGAAGATTTGGAAGAATGGGAACGGAGACAATCACACAACAACACTAATTAACTGTAGTTTCAACTTTCAACATAAAACCGCGTTTTAGTTTCTAACCTCATCTCAATCCAAACACTGGATGGTTTCTGGTTATGACCTCTGAAGTCTAGAGTTCTAGCAAAAGGGGGGGAGGAGGAGAAATGACACAGACTTTAGAACTTCAACAGAAGAAACTAGTCAAACTAGTAACTCAAGAGTCAAGACATTAAACAGCTGGCTCGGGTGAATTTCAGTCACTCTCCCGGGGCAGAGACGCCTTGCTTCAGCCTTTCCCTCTTCATCTTCTTCTTGGAGACGGGCTTCTTCTTCTTGGGAGGCAGGGTCTTCTGTGCATACACGTAAAGCGCGTAATTCCCAATAAGGAACGCCAGGACGATGCTGCCAATAACCAGCAACACTATCAATCCAGGGTTCAGTCCTTTAGCTTCCACATTCTTTCCCTGTTGGTCATAGCAAATGGGAAACAGTAGTCATTAAATACAATATATCGTAAGATGGTTAAGGCTAGCTAAAACGTCATCTAAACTCAGAGAACCATAAATTGTTTGTCCTTTAACTTCTATGAGACTTCATGTACTATCTACAAGCTGTGTAAAGGCTACAAACAGCAGAGGGAAATCATGAACAACAACAACCTGTATATCACGATTCTTATTACAATTCAAAGGGCGGAAGAACGCAGACCATAGACACGGAACCAATTGGCGCGCAAAGAAACAATAAAGAGGACTCCTACGCTTAGTTAATCAAAGAGATAGTTTGTCAAACAAATAAACACACGCCACTGTGCAAAATGCCTGGAAAGCCAAGAGAAGCAAAGATTCCTCATCATTATGCCAGGCAAATCAGAGTCCATATGAAATTTCAGCATTACACAGGCAGCAACATGAAGCAGCAGTCGAATATATACACAAGTAATCAACGATGACCGAAAAAATTTTCTTCTGCATGTTAATTCAGTGGCATTGATAAGAAGGGTTTAGTCAACAGAGCTATGATTTAGAGCCAACATTGCATACACAATCGAATCGAATTTCACTATAGTTGCTTTCATTCACAGTTTGTCACATGATCCGAAATCCCATGCCAATGAACCAAAATCCACAGCCATGTAAACGAAATCCCAAATCGAAGAGGTTAAACCCTTCTGACAACAAGAGAAACGCCACACCTTAACCGGCAAATCGAACAACCAAACACAAGATCGCGACCAGGGCTATGGAATCGCATCTGATCAGAATCAAGATCTGGCGGATCAACGTGGTAAAAAACCTAGATTCCGTAAAAGCAGATCTAAATTTTTTGCGGAAAAGAAAAAGGAAAAGAAACAGAGGGAATCGGAGAGAGAGGGAGAGAGAGGCTTCAACGGAGTTTTACCATGCGGTCGAACGATGGAGTGGAGAACTCAAAATCATCGGCCATCGGTCGTCGTCGTCGACGATCAGCTCCGCGTCCTGCAGAGAGAAGATTCTAGAGAGAGGATCGACTCTCACTCAGACGGAATAACAACAATGGCAGTAAAACAGTAGGCGTTTTAGATTAGAGCTGTTTGAGGAAAACTTTCCTTCCCTATTTGATCCCCAAGGTTTTCGAGCTATCTATTCAGCTACTTTTGTTTTTTGGTGCCTTTCGTTAATCTTCCCGGCCCAGTTTCAACTACACGAAGTTGGATTGCGGCTCGGCTGGCCCAATTCGATACGATTACAGGACCAAAAATAGTAACGGGCTCCAAAGTCCAGATCGCCCCACTAAGCACATTTCTGTACATTGATTAAATTGTAATCTATCATTAATAGTGAGGGTAACTCATGAAAATAAACAGTAGAAATACAATTGGGTGACCACCCAAATCAAACATAATTAATTTTCTTCAAATCTTCCTTCATTCTTTGACTTTTTCCCTCATGTTAACAACATTATGTTAGTAAGTTATTACTTAGTAGATGTATCAAAGTCAGAGAATAATTATTTGACTTATATTGTTACTCTATCTTATGGATTAATGGATGTTTTAGAATAAGATGCTTAGAATCGTTTTAAGAATGATTGTCTCTTTGTCGACTTTATGAAATAATAGGTGCGTTTAGTATTATAATTGAAATTTTACATGTAAAATTTTAACTATTATATTGTTGAATGTGCGGGGCGGGTATTACCCACGGGTACCCGAAACCCACGGGTATGGGGATAGATTTGCAAATCCTTCCCCGCATGGATATGAGTCGGGTATGGGTTTGGGTATTTGATAGCGGGTATGGGGATGGTTTAGGGAAACCCGCCTCATTGCCATCCCTAAGTAGCGTGGGAGGGAGGACGACTTTTTTCCTTATTCTAGTAAAACTCTCCCTGTAAAGTCGAGTCTTGCAACTCCTGGATCTAGTTGGAGGAGGAAAGGAGGGAGTGGTGGTCCGAGAGATCATTGACTTCGCAACGTTATTGGAGCAGGGAAAACGACAACGTCCACTTCTCCGCCTCTTCTGAGTTTATGAGAGCAAAGCCTCCTTCCCGACTAAAAGACAAAATAATTTGGGGCAAACAAAAAAACAGAATAAAGTGTTTGGATGGAGAAGGGTTCTCCGTTAGTGTGGGAGAGGGGTTGGTTCAGTCGTCGTTACTTTTGATTCTGGGTCGAGTTAAATGAATCCAGTCACTGCCACATAAGCTCCATGTGGCTCAATTAAAGGCTGCGACACCGGTACCGCAAATTTTAGCGCGACACTGTAGCATCGGCCTTATTTATTTGTCAAACAAAAGTTTGTGGTACCTCAATAGATAGTGATGACAATGGGACGGGCGGGTACCTCAATAGATTCATGTTCTGCTGCCACGCTATTGTGGGTCGAAGCAGGTAATACTCTTACAGGGCAGGGCAGGGCGAGTCTACCCACTATTACATGTTGTTTATAAAAAAATACGGGCAAAATTTTACTTTCTACGCCCCATCACGAATCATATCAGATAATACCCGACGGGACAAATTCAAATTGTCATCACTACTTGCAGATACGTGAGAGTAAGTGAGAGTAATATGTGTATATGCCAAACATTTACTGTGGAGGTGGAATGTGGCTGCTTTCCACTGATGCCTGCTAGTAGTGCTATGCTATGCTCGCTCATGTTAATTGGTCTATTAGAGCACGCGCCCAATACTTACAGTAACATATGCATCATATTATTTCGAAAGCACTTTCAACTCAAAGATCGATCCAACTGTCATTACTCATTACAAGGCCTTAGGCCCATAAATATATGGACTTCACTTCAAGCCCGCCCGTTTAGTTGCTATTAACGTAACGACAATCCTTCCTAACCTCCCCCTCCGGCCCAGTGAGCGGGTTGTTCTCCGACAATACCACCACCGCCCTGGCAAACTGCTGGTGGAAATAGCCGTTGTCGCCAGCCATCCTCTCCACAAACGGCGCCGTGCGAGGGTCGGAAGCCAGCTGCTGGTCCACCGAAAGCAACCCCTTGTGCTCCAGCACGTTCTTGTAGTACATGTTGTCCAGAATCATCGGGGTCTCGCGGTCGTTTCTCGAGTAGAGCACGGACTTCGGGTCCGGGTCCGGGGTCGGGCACCGGGCCTTGAGGTACCCGGCGTATTCCGGGTCGAGAGTCGGGTCGACGGTCGGGTAGAGCCGGCCCACCAGATTGACGCAGTGGACCCGGCCGACGGAGTGGGCCCCGAGGAGAGCGACCGTGGACTCGGTGTCGAGGCCCATGGACCCGAAACGGGAGAGGACGGCCGAGATGGAGTCGTTGTGGTTGGGGATGGAGCTCTCCACATCCGAAGCGTAGCTCTGCTTGCTGTCTCTGCGCCCCGTTTTCAGCTCCACTCTCGGGCCGCCCAGCTGGATATGATCAACAACAAAATTCGATTAGTGAATTAAAGGCCTTAATTCGTCTTAGAGAAGATTAAATTTTCATTTTTTTCCTGCTTCGATTGTGTGGTGGAGTGATTCGAACCATGACAATCCCGTCGCGGGCAGAGAGAGCGACGATGTCGGCGCAGGAGACGGTGGATGGGCAGTGGGACTCGAGGGCGCGCTTGATGGTGGCGACGTACTTGAAATTCCTCATCCCGAAGCTTCGGCTGGTGTCCTTCTCCGATTTGATTCCGTTTACCGTTTCTAGCAGTAGCGATGCATCGCACGACTGCATCAAAATATTTAATATTCAAAACAACAGTGAAAATCAGATAATTTTTTTTTTTTAAGTTGACGGGTTAGAAAGTAGAATTGAACCTTGCACTCTTTAAGTGCCTAGCTAGGTTTGATTAGTTTTGGGTAAAGTGTCCGGTCCAACTGTGATATGGGTATAGACGGACACATGATACATGTAAGTTTTGAAAAGAAAAAAAAATATCCTCATATATGTTAATATGTACTATAGATCAAGCTCACCACATTAAAGTAGTATAAAAGTGTTTCGCCACTACTACAATACAATTTATTTGTTTATGATTAGACAAACATAAAATTAAATTATTATTCGTAATCAATCGGGAATTTCTTTTCTTCTTATATCTATTCGATTTTGCTCTCCAACTGTCCCTAAAGAAATAGGATAATGAAGATTCCACGTTCTCCATTTCCACGTCGACGGTTGCGTCTATTCGACCTCGTACAACAATTGTCTCTACAGAAGCAACTCCGGATATTTTATATATATATATATATATATGTATATATATAAATTATTTGAATATTATTCATTTAAATAATATTTATTTATATTTAAAAAAAGAAAGAAACAGGTCATTTCGAATCCCGCTTCCATCAATGAACATCAGTGGTTCGTTCATGAAATATTATATTTTAGCCCCCTTCCTTTCACCCATTCTAGAACATATATATACGTCAAGAAATCCTCCTTCATTTCACCCATTCTAGAACATATATATATATATATATATATATATATATATATATATTATATTATACCTTAAGAAATTTTTTACTATTTAAAAAGCATATACGTTTCATGTGCGATGTTGACTTGAGCACGGTTCCGGAAATATTTGTCCTCAGTTCTCATAATTAAGCAGGCAGAGCAACGCGTAGGATAAGTCAAAATACTGGTCAACTTTCATTTATGCATGCCAGCTTAATTAAATACAATTTAAATACTCAAAAAACAATGTGATGACAAGTAATTCTTTTCTTTTTTTTTTAACGTGACAAGCAAGCAGGGTTACCTTGACGACACAGTCGTGGAAGAGGTTGCGAAGCCAAGAAACGGCGGTGTTGCCATGTTCATTGTAAAGCTTAATCACCTCTTCTTTGATGATCTCTTCAGCTCTAGGGCAGCTCTCTCCATAAAAACTCGATTGGAGCTCGCTATTCCCTGCAAACATAATTGAACAATAATACTATCCAATCAATTTACTTCCCGACTATTGTTTTTAACCGCGACGGTTAAACTCTTAGATTGATGAACACTCCAACTAACTCTTAACAGTTATTGAGATCATATAGAGAGGATGAAATTACCAGAGGGGAACAACTGAAAGGCGAAAGACAGATAGAGGATGAAGACTGAGGTGAGAAGGTTGGTGGCGGCGGCCATTGTTGATTGTGTAAGGGAGGGAGGGAAGATGGGAATTCAAGTGAGCCATCTCTCTCTTATATAGCCAGCCATCAAAGCCAAGTGGAAGCATGGTGGGAGGGAGAAAAAATAATTACTCTCTTCTTGGTTTTAATTATTAGGTTATGAAGGCTAATTAATGCTAGCTTGAGAAATACATGAATTTTAATTTCTTTTCTTTCTTGTACTGGGGTGGGATTGCTAATTGCCATTGTTAGCGAACTAACCACTTGGTTCCAATAACTCGAGTTATTGGGATCAACGGGTTCTTGACAGCCATTAGGGTTGGGCATCGGTTCGGTCTGGACGGGATCAGACCAAACTCAGGAGAATCGCGGTCCAATAATAAAAGATATATTAGGATCAAGGACCGGATCGATAGTGCATTCGGTTCGCTTTGGTCCATTTGGTCCGGTCCAAATGTAAGTTCGATCCATTTTTCTTTAGTATTTTTGAAATTCATAGGACCAAAAACCAGACCATAATTATTCAATTCGGTGTGATTCAGTCCAAATATCGATTCGGACCAACCCATTGCCCACCCCACTAGCCCACTACGCCACTTTTATTGACCTCTTTCGGTATAGAGTTCCGATTTGGTTCTCACCACAAAACACTGTCCGGCCCACTACAATTCATGCCATGATCGATCATCACAGTTCACAGATGTATACAAGCAAATAATTTAGTGTTGTGTATATTTATTCAATTTAAGTTGTTGTCGTTTCATTGATTAAGAAGGGAGTCTTTGTTCTTATCGTTGTGATTAGGGAGGGGGAAACCGTAGACTCTATCTGCATGTCACGTCATGTCTGTCCGTTTGTATGTTTGATTACAAGGCTCAATTATTTTTCGTCAACTTAGCTTCTTTCTAATTTGGAAGATGAGAGAGATGGCTCAATAATTGGGAAATAATTAATGAAGAGATTTTCGGCTTGGATTGTCGCTGATTGTAGTTCGAGAGTTGCAAATCACTTATGATTGAAGAATCTTTAGTGCATAACTGATATAACATTCAAAGCTCCAATATCTCTCTAGCTAGGACTTTGCCTTTTTTTCAGACAACTCTCCCTTATATAGGTTCTTAGTGCACAAATCACCGTACCCTCTCACATCACGTCCGCGTGTCCATAGTGAAATCGTGTTCTCGCAAAATGCGTCGTTTCACTAATGAACTTGACGAGCTGCTTGTGGAAATCATGGTTTCGAGCCGTGATATTGACACTGCCCGCGACGAGCCATACAAACCCTTCTTGAAGTGTGCAATATTCACAGTTTCCTTGTCCATTTCAAGGTCTGTTCCAGTGACATTTTTACTCCACAACCGTGATCTCTGCACTTTCACCCATTTTTTCCCCTCATTCGTCTGACTTTCGATCCTGGTTCCAAGATTACCTGCTAAGGTCTGGAAAATGAAAAACCAAAAATAAACCCCGCGTAAACTAGCTCCGAGGATGGTGCAAACACATCATACATCTCAAGTAAAAGGGTGCAAAAGTGTGAAATCTAACCCGAATCAAAATTCTTCCCTCCCATAGGGACGACATTCAAACACCCAATTACTCCGTCACTTGTAAGATAAATCTTTGAACCAATGCATGAATCAACAGCTTCTTGAACTCAAATACCACTTACTTCTTAGCCTTCCAAATACACCATATAAAAAAAAACTACCCTCATCACCCTGGAGTTGGAAGTGTCATCCTAGAAGGAATTTCCTAAACAAAATAGCAAAGTTCTGTGTCAAAAATTGAATCAAATATAGCAATAGACCTGATGCCTATCATAGAGTTGTCACCACTAAACAGAACAAGAAGAGATGCTCCAAGGATTCTGATTATGCTCAATGGACATGACATCTATAAAGGATGGGGAACATCTCTTAGCAGTAGAGGTGGCAATTTCAATCCAATCCACCAATCCAATCCATCAATCCATTAAAAATATCCATCTAATCCAATCCATTTAAATCCAATCCATTTGATCCAAATCCAATTGGATTGGTGGATTCATGAATTGGATCCATGGATCATTGGCAAATTACGGTTGAGTACCTATAATTTTTAGTTTTTACATTTTGGTACCTAAAATTTAATTTTTTATACGAAAAATATCAATGGAAAATTACGTTTTGGTACCTAAAATTTTTCATTATGACATTTTAGTACCTAAACTTTTTACATTTTACATATTGGTCCTTGGTTGAGGATGTCATTTGGATTCATGGATAATCCACTAATCCACTTGATCCAATCCATGAATCCATGAATCCATTAGATCCAATCCATTAGATCCATGGATCCACCGATCCAATCCACCAATCCACCAATCCAATCCATTTGCCACCTCTACTTAGCAGAAAAGCCTCTATAGAAAGTATGGTATTGTAAGGTAAATATTTATCACGATACATTTGCGCTAGGTCAGAATCCCGCTCCTCAAGGAGTCATCATGCCACTTTCACAAGTAGAGCCTGATTAAAATATTCGAATCGTCTCAAATCCAATCCATCCTCATGCTTACTAAGACAAAGTGAGCGCCATAGAACCCAATGTAGGCTATCCTTCTCCTCATTGAAACCCACCAAAATGACACCATATGCTTATCTAGCCGACGATCTGGAGATAGATGGAATTTAAATCACAGCATAACAAATATTCGTAAAGCTGTCGTCACTACCTTAAACAATAGCGAAGCCATGTTGTATTCTGAAGGGGCTATAGCCCTTCCTCAACTTTCAAATGTAGATAAATTTACATGTAAAATTTGTTAATTTTTTTTTTTAAAATAGACTAGTTGGTAAATGTTTAACCCCTCTCTCCGATGAGTTAATGACCATGGTTCATATTCCTTAAGTATAATTTTTTTTAGCTCCCATCGTTATGATTTATGGCTTCTGACCTTAAATAACAGTTCCATTGTTTCCATGAAAGGTACCCTTATTTCTAACCTTGGAGTTTAAGCAAAAGCTTCTTCACAAGAAGGCAATTTTCTCATAAAATAAAGAAAAAAAAATCTGATTTATTTAAAGTCAAAGTTAGATCGGATCGTTTGCATTTATTTTCCCGCAGCATTGGATCGAAGATCTTATGATTGAAATATCATAACTCAATGGTAGACCTAAGAGTTTGTGATATATGAGTTTAAGATAAGCAGCCGCCCCACTGTAGCGTTAACTTGATAGGGTTTTCATTATGTATTGGGTTCCTTGAGGAAACAATAAGCAAAAAGAAAGTGAAATCACCACCCACATATGAGATATGGAAAGGTTCATCATATGTTCACAGAAAATTTTCAGCCTCTGAATATGGAGAGCCAAGTCATCCTTCATTATGATCCAAATTCTGGGTGGAGTAAATCAAATTAATTGTGGTAGAGATTACACTCCACTTCTCAGCCAAAAGATCTGCAGGCTGGCTTTTCTCAATATTTAGCCGCCTTTGTTTGTGATTGTGAGCAATCCTATAATGGCCATATCCGTGGTCCGAGTTCGACCCATCATTAGGCTCAAGTTTGCCATAAGATGAATTTATCCTCGTACGCTATATTGCGGTAATGCGTTTATGAATTCCGCAGATTATTATTGTTATAAATTATAAGTAGTTATTATGATTAACTAGTTACTTTGCTCTTGTGTTGCTTCGAACAATGAGTGAAGTTATTTCATTAAAGTGAAATGATCCAGAAAAAACAAGATGATGAATTGATTATAGCGATATTGCATGTGGTCGAGGCTCTGAATAGCGCTCCTAGACACTCGCCTAAACTCGCTTGACACAAGTCAGAAAGAAACCGCCTCGCCTTGGCCAAAAGTGGCATACACGGCTTAAGGATCACGTTATAACCTCGGCGGGGCCTAGTCAGCATTGAGTTGCGCCTCAAAATGATGTCACGATGTCTTTTTTTCTACCTATTAATATGATGTCACAATCATATTGAGAATGATTGTCTCTTTGTCGAATTCATAATATAGTAGGTGTGCTTAGAGAAATTTTACAATGCTATATAGTATTGGTGCTATAGGTTTTTGCTTTTATGGTACAACTTAAAATTGTACATTTACGTTATGGTACAACTTCAGATTGTACCTATACTTTTGGGACAAATTCTTTTATGGTACAACTTGAGCTTGTACCTATATGTGATGGTACAACTTCAAGTTGTAAAGTTGTACCATAACATAATGATACAAATTGCTTTATGGTACAACCTAAACTTATACATTTAATGTTAAGGTACAACTTTAGTTAATGTTACAATTGAAAATTTACAATGTAACTTTTAGGTATTATAATGTTGGATGTACGGGACAGGTATTACTCCTGGGTACTAGAAAGTCCGAAACCCACGCATATGGGGATGGTTTGAAAAACCTCTCCTACATGGGTATGGGGGTGGTTACGAGTTTGGATATTTGAAAGCGGGTGATGCATATAGATTTATTATATTTTTCTTACTATGGATTAATTATTATTAGTAGCTGTGTTAGAGAGATAATTATGATAGTTAGTTGTTAGTAGATCGTGGGAGAGTGGTTCCACAATAATAGGGTTTAGGCAAACCCGCCTAATTGCCATCCCTGATTCGCGGTGTTTGATTGGCTGTATTGAGGATAGACCTGACATGAACGATTAACCAACAGTTCTATGACAGTTAAGAAACATTGCATTCATCATACCGTTTAAAGTTTAAACAAAATTCCTTGATCTTAGGAGCGCATTGCGGCCAGAGCTGACAATAGATTTTGATAGCTAGAGTTCCAGGTAGTTCAAGAAACTTGGTCACCATTCTAGTTCCCATACAAAAGGGATAATCCAAAATTTAAGGAGGCAGCAGGATTGTAAGAATGGCGATTAATGCTAAGATGAAAAAGCAAGGCTAGTAAGTAAGTTGAGTTGAGCAGAGAAGTAAGAAGCAGAGATTAATTAACAGAGAGATCCAAACTCATATCTTTGTTGGCCGGCGATGAAATGGGAAACAGTGAAAGTCTAGCTTTGGAAGACGATAGACGTCAATTTCTCGAGTACCAATATCTGTCCACCAAATCCTCGTCGCTTTTGGCATGATTTTCCATTTCCTAGTATAGGCATCCAAACAAGCTGTAGCCACGGGTAAATCAAAACGGAATCCGATTCAGTACCATTAATATGAAACAATTATTGAAATGTTTCTCTTGAATATATAGGTAGATGTATCAGCTTCATCTTCACTTGGGTCACGTTCTTGTGTAAGTAAATAACACAACGAAAAACTCCATTAATGAAGCTATCGGTAGGTTCACATTTTCCACTTCCTAATTGATTAAATATGCAAATCTCTCCCATGGAGTTTTTTTTTATGTCGACACGACACTGATCCTGCTATGAACCAGCCATTGATCGTACTATAATTTGTATCGAAAAAATTTAGATTTACGGTACTATATTCTGAAACGTTGAATTTAATTGTCGTTCAATCATTTCATATCGTTAAAAATCGCTACGAGTTTAGATTTCAGTAGGAGTACTTTTTCCCGATCAAACTCCGTGACCAACCCAAATCTGTCCTTGGCCAACGCAAATCCGACCCCTCACCTAATCAATCACCTTCTTCGCATGGGTGAGCTGTTACAACGATAAGGAAAGAGAAATTTTACTGTCTACAATAGAACTAGTATAAATCCATCACACCTGTCTGTACTGCTTCTGCATCTCCCTTCTTTTTTCTTCGTTTCTTCTCCCTGTTCTGTTCTGTTTTTCCTTTTCTACAGCGGATTTCGCTCCCTAGTTTCTCCACCTCCACATTGCTTTGGCTTCTTTTTTTTTTTTTTTTAACTTCACCCAACAATATTGCTCGCTGAAACGAAGGAAGGAAAGCAGCAGAATCCAGCACTGGCGGATTCAATTTCTGCACCAGCAGCAAGCAATGCCATTAGTCTAATGGTAATCGGTCCGGGTCCAATGGACGGACAGCTAAACAAATCGGCGATTATGATGGTCGAGATAAAGAAGCTGCTGCTGCGCCTTGCAGGGCCGCTCGTGGCATCCAACTCGTCGACGTATCTCATTCAAGTAACATCCTTGATGTTCGTTGCCGCTGGCTGGAGCATCTTTGGCAACTTCGTTTGCTTCGGTCACCAGCTTGACTCTGTTGGTGAGTTCTGACGTGGTTACTTGAAAATAGCTCCTAATAAATCTCGTTTGTTAATTGATGTCTTTATTTCCCTTTTTTTTTTGTTCCGACAGCGAGGAATGGGCAGTGCAATGGAAACCTTGTGCGGCCGAGCTTATGGGGCAAGGCAATTCCATTCCATTGGCATCCACTTGCAGAGAGCCATGCTGGTGCTACTGGTAACGACGATCCCTCTATCAGCTTTATCATTTTATGCAGCACCGATTCTTAAGGCCTTTCACCAAAATCCCGATATAGCAGAGGAGGTAGGGGAATATGCCAAATTTGTAATCCCAAGCATTTTTGGGTTCGCCGTTTTAGAAACTCATGTAAAATTCCTCCAGTCCCAAAACAACGTAGTCCCCATGATGCTTAGTACAGGATGCACTTTCCTACTCCATGTGTTACTCTGCTGGGTTTTGGTTACAAAAACTGGGCTTGGCAATAAAGGGGCCGCCATAGCCAATGCTATTACCTACTGGACCAGTGCAACATCCTTGTTCATCTATGTGAGGGTTGCGAGCTGGCGATTCCTTGGGCGATAATGCTTAGCCTGGAGATCTGTACATTTTAATTGATGGTACTTGAATGAAATACTACGTCAAGATAAGTTGAAAGTCACGAGCGGCCCTGAAAGGTGTAGCAGCTTCTTTATCTCGACCATAATCGCCGATTTGGTTAACTGTCCGTCCCTTGGAGCCGGACCGATTTCCATTAGACTAATGACATTGCTTGCTGCTGGTGAAGAAATTGAATCCGTATTCTGCTGCTTTCCCTCCTTTGTTTTGATTACAGCGAGCAATATTATTAATTAGGTCAAGTTAGAAAAAGCCAAAGCAATGTGGAGGTGGTTTCACCCCGCTGTAGAAAAGCAAGAAAGAAAACAGAACAGAGAGAGACTGAAGAGATGAAGGGAGATGCAAGAAGCAGTACAGGGTACAAGTTTGGGACGAAGAAAGTTGCTTTTATTTGGACCCAATAATTCGGTAGTGGAGTCAGTGCTGATGGATTTATACAGCTTGTACTCTAGCTAGGCAGTAAAGTTTTTCTTTCCTTTCTTATCGTTGTAAGTTGTGTACAACGCTTTTGGGAACTCACTAGAGCCTAGGCCAATCAGGAGCAGAGGCAGTCTTTAGTGTCGAGCAGTAACGACTTTTAGTGACTGATATGGTGTCGATGACTAAAGGAGTGTAGTTGTTTACCATCGATTTCCCTAGGTTGATAAGTGTCGATTTTGTATTGTCAATTGATTAAATCGATAGTCTTATTAGTATTGAATTTAGGATGTTAATTAATTTGCTTAGTAGTTAATAAAATGATCTAGATTGAGTTAATTGAGTATTTGACCCAATAATATGATGAATGATATTGTTGGGAGTTTCTTTAAGCAATTTAATAGATTTAGATGATTAAGATAGTGTAGGTTATTAGTTAGCAAAATATTGATTTTGCCAAGAATAATATTATGATGAATTAAATTAGAAATCATATGATATTCGATAAGATTAGCAAGTTAAGATATACTAACCAAACCGAGGACCTCGAGGGAATATTATTCGTATTCCGGCCGGAAAACAATCCTAACTGTAAGCCCATTATAAATTCAACTGGCTAAGCTCATCAGCTGCCTATACCTTATCTATCTACTCTAACTAGCGCAGGGCCCGGCCCGTTGGGCGGGTAAACTAAACATAAGCGTATCATTTGACAAACGTTGGAACATGAAGTCAAATGAAAACGAATTCATTTTTGGGCATTTTAAGTTAAAAATTGTTCGGTTAAAATGTTTATAAAAATATATGAAATTTAATAAGTGGGATGTAATCTTGGGAACATAATAATAAGCATCACATTGGTAATATGTTGCATGAATGATATATGAAATAAACTTAATTAAAAACGCATAATTTGTTTTGTTAACTTACAGTTACAAATTGATAAGTTATAGTATTTATAAGGGAAGCTGAAATTAAATAATTGGGTTATAATCTTGCAAACATAATAATAAGATCATGCAACCATAATAATAAGCACTACATTGGTAATGTGTTGCAAGAATGGTGCATGAGATGACCAGAAAAATGTAAGTAGAAATACCAAATTCGCACAACACAAACTGGCATCTGAATATGGTAATTGAAATTTAACTATTAGAGTAGTAAAAAAAAAAAAGAACTCTGTCTGAAATGAAACTCATTGTTGGAACCAAAAAAGTAAACCATTAGTATTCTGACAAAGTACCCCCAGTCCGCCTGCTCTGTTAGCGGAGCCGTCAGATTGGGAATTCTTCTCTCTTATCTCATCTCCTCGCCTGAGTTGCGATAGCGTGACAGATTATAGAACTGACGATGATGAAGGTAAGATCTGGTTAGTTAGTTTGCATGTCGAATTATTGGTACTTTCTTATGATTTAGGGTTCTGACATTTTAATTTTGTGGCTCTAATTATCGTAGAGGAAGAGGAAAGGGTCCCCGATTTGGATCTCTAGCCTGCCTGCTCTAACGGTGAAATCGCCAGCTCAAGACGTCCCGTCTCTTATCTGGTCTCCTCGAATGGAGCTTCAACGGACAGATTGGCGATGACGCGGCTTCTCCTGGCAGCGAGAACCAACGACGATTGATGTTGGTGACGATACTGTCGGTGACGCAGCGGCTTCGGAAGACGGTGGAGGGTGTCGGCAACTTGGAAAGGATTTGGGGTGTGAGTTCCTCCAACAACCCGTCGAATTAACTGCTTTCCCCTTGGCCCATCGACATCTTTGGAGGGATAGGAATAAGCAAGAGCTCAAGAAGACCCAGGAATTGATTCATTCAAGTTCCAGGTAATTATATTTGGCTTTCATTCTTAGTTCAATGTTCAATTAAACGAACTCGGAATTTATCTAGAGAATGCTGACTTGGTATTTATGATTTGTCTACACGGAATAATGGGGTGGTGGTCTATCGATAAAGAAAGTAGAGAGGACCAGTCGAGGTTAGACCAAGAAGGTGCTGATGGGTGAGTCTATGACTCTATGTTATTAAACAACAATCTTCTGATTTTCTGCAATCATTACATGACCAGGGGCAAAATGGTTTATGTATCTTTAGATACCAAGAAGGTGCTGATGGGTTAGCCTTATTACAGTAGCTGTAATTTCATTCTTGTACCAAGATTTGATTATGCTCTGTGGTTTATGAGAAAAATCATTGCTTTTAATTTAAGACTCTCATCAGGAGGTCTTAGCAGTAGGAGTTTTTGCTTTCATCTTCCCTAGAGAAGCACGCTTTCAATCCTTTCTTTGTTCCAAAAAAAGATAAAATATATCTCCCTTGTGATAAGAGGGTCAACGATTATACGTAGAATTCTTAGAAGAAATTATTAACTACCAATATGCATTGATTTGTTTCCAGGGGAGGATGGATGGATAAGAGGTCCAGCTCCACCAAGGATGCAGAAGATGAGTTTCAGATTGTTTTCTGCTTCATGGAAAGGATTTCCTGAAGGCTGGCAATGAAAAGTAAAATGGCGTATGGAAAGTGAAAGTTGATGTTTGGACACCTACACATACATATGTTGTGAGAGGATCCGAAAGTAGCCTAAGGAAAACCGTTTGCAGCAGGAGAAAAGCTGGAATTGTGCAAGGTAAGTTTCAAACTTCTTTGGTTTAATTGAGTAGTGTTTTTGAGTGATAAAGAAAAAGGTCTGGTGTATAATAATAGTAGCAGAAACATTCCTGGATATAAATAGAAAGATTAAATTCACTAACCAAGTATCTTTTAACATGATCAATACTTCAATTAGCTAAAAACCACAGGAGATAAATGGAGCAGCTAAGTAATAATCTATGCGGGCAAAGAGTTCAACATCCACAATTGGAACAAATGTGCAGAAATTATCGTTGAAATAAAGCACTGTTCAAGTATGTCACACCCTCTACCAGAATAATTTGCGCAGAACCAAATCAAACTCATTGGTCTGTCCGTTGAAATCTCCAAATTCAATCATAAACTTCAATATATTACCCCTGAGAGCAGCTAGGAGAGTCCTGAAGTCATTGGTCCATTCCTTGTCTGTGGCCTCAATGATACGGCTTGCTATCCAACGGAACTTGGTAGTCGTAAACATGATAGAAGCCTCATGAGGACCAGTAGCAACAGTCAGCCTCACCATAAACTTCAGATGCACACTTGACCAAGAAACAGTCACATCCTTGACTGTTGCAGTAGTAAGGTACAAATTCCCCTGTAATATGAACCACATGAAAGCTTACATTTGGGAATGGTAAGAGGATAGTTGATATTTCATTGGTCAAGTTAGAGCATTAGAGACACAGTGAAATCCAACCATGTTGTCCAGGCCAACAATTATGATATTCAATGGGAGCAAAATATGACTTTGGAAAATTTTGTAGGATTTGACCGAGTGTACATATAAACTACCTGGTTGTTGAAATCAGTCTTGTATAGATTCAGTTCCGAAATGGAACATATCTCACTTAACCATATAGCATCCTCCAACGTGTAGTCAATGGCCAGCGGGACATTTTCTATACTGTAAATCAAGAAAAAATAATTCCAAAACATGAGAATAAGAATAATAAAAGAACTGATTCTATTGAACAAAGGTTAAACACTTACTTATCAAGCAGGGGGTGCACGTGAGGATAGTGCAAGTTGCAATATACTTTCGTTGCATTTTAACCCACACAATATTCTTCCCCTAAAACCATAACATCTAGAAACTCAATAACCACTAATATAAAATAAAAGAACAGGTTGGAAAATTAGAATGAAAACCATGTAAGAGACCTGCGAAGTGGCGGACAACAACGGAAGTGAAGACAACTACTGTTCCTGGTAAAGGATCATTAGGTGTCACAGCTTGAAATTCGTCAATTAGATCATCCCATAAGACGACATCAACTATAGGTCCCCTAAAATTTAAAAAAGAAAGAGATGAATGAATGGTCTGCATACGGTAAGCACACTTCAAATGTAGCCTGTACAAAAAAGCAACCAACTGACTCAATCAATTTAAGCTGCACTCCCTTTCGCCTTAAAACAGCATCATCTTCGAACAGGACCTCTTCTTGTTCAACAGTTTCAACCTCCCCAATTAAATCTGAACCCATTGCTTTGTTTTTTCCCTTCCCCTTGTTCCCCACCGTGCTGACTTCTGAGGACATACATGGTTTGAGGTTTCATGTTCATTACTGGGCAATGACAACCCAGACAAACCTTCCTTATTAAGTAACCGTCTTATTCTTCCTGCTGATTAATGATCAGATACAACAAAACTAATGAGTAGTAATGCAACAGCCAAACTGATACGTGTAAACCAATAAAAAAAACACAACAAAAGCTACCAAATTTGGCACTTTACATGGAAGGGAATAAAAAAGTAATGTCGATCATAAATATTATATGTGGTATGAAAAAGATACCTGGATTTATTGCAGAACTCAACATTTATATGTGCATCGAATCGCAATAATAAATAGCGATTGTAGGGCACGACAAAACGATTGTCCAATGACACAGAGTTAACTTTAAAAGATATTCCACTGTCACGTCGTCAATATTTGGCAAAACCATTATCATCAATCGTTGTTTGCTCACAAAACGGCTTTGGAAAATGTTTAGTACACACACCACCTTCTGTGCAAGGAGCATTACGGCCCAAAATACCACATGGACCATGCAGCATAAATGCCGTTACAGCTCTATAGCCTTCTGGATCAATATCAGAGTTTGGAATTTCTGCGGATATGACTGAATCAATGGCCGTCGGCCCAGTTAGTTTACATTCCGCAGCTAGGAAGACTAACAAATGAGCATGGGGAAGGCCACGCTTTTGAAACTCAATTGCCAGCACAACTGCAAACAAATACAATATGTATTAAGTATAGATAAAATACGAAAACCAAAATCATAATTAACATATTCAAAGGCTCCGACTCTGGAATTGGAGGGCTATGCTTATATATACCCACTTCAAATGCAACATTAAAAGGCATACTGATCACCATAAAAATATAATGGATTGGGTTTCTAGAATTCATTAAAAAATTAGGCTGCGTGGCTGAATTCACAACTCATCATGATATGCAGATGGGTTTCCTTGTGGTATGATTACCACTAATATTATGTAATAAAATTTAATGTAAATTGGATAAAATTCCCATTTTCCCTCCTTTATGCAAGGAATCAGAATGACAAAACACGCACTGAATATATGGCTGAATAGATATGGCAACAAATAAATCTTGATTATGAGAAATTGCGGCAGACTATGTAACGGGAAAAAATAATGGGTAGGGGCCGCCGTTGGAGCCTTCCAAAACCTTATTAGGTAAAGGACAACTTGCATAAAATAATTCAATCATATGAAACAAAAGTATTGATAAAAACTAAAATAACAATTATGGAGCATGTACGACTTACATCCAGTGGTAGTCCCAAATATTTTCTTATCTCTTATCTCAGACATTAATTGCTGCAGTTTAAGCTTGAAGACCCGAGCAATAATATCAGATCTATTGACATCTTTCCGACCATCTGCGGTTACCAAATCAACCATAAACTGGATTTCCGGCCAATTTGCATTACAGGTGAAGGTAATAAATAAATCTGGGTAGCCCAACCACCTATAAATAGTCATAGCATCCTGGAAGTTTTCATACTTGTACCGTGGACTTCCTGTGTGGGAAGCAGCCAAAATCACATGTTTTCCAGTCATTTCTAAATCAGAATCACCACGTAGGAATGCACCCACTAACCCACTCAGATAATGGGAACGAAGTTTAGCTTGGTTATTTCGGATCCAATCAAGCCGTTGTGCCTCTACTAATGCGTACGCATTCACAACATACTGCTGAAATAATTTCCCAGATAATAAAACCGAATTTGACTCCTGAAATCTACTCTGTAGGCGGTATGCATAATAATCACACTGGGACAGTGTCTTGTCATTCCAAAGATTATCATCATCATCATCACAGCTTATGTCCGGATGCCATCCATCCTCTCCATAAGGAAATAAAATTGGGTATTGTAAAGCCATTAATGATGGATGATGATAATTAATTCTCTCCAATTGAGAACTCTTATACTGAACAATAATATCTGGCTCAAATGTATCTTGCCCTGTTTCATCAACAATCAAGGCTGCTATGTCATTCCCCGTCGGTAAATCATATTCTCTCCCATCATGAGTACGCTTGGCAATTAATTTGATCTTCACCTCTTTCACATTGCCTTCCTGCATCTTTTGCCTAGCCATCCGAAAGGTTTGAACCAGAACATTGTTTCTATCAAACATTTCTTGCAATCTTTCAACAATCTCTGGTCGCAATGAACTGGATTGATCATCAACTGGAAATAGCTGCAAACGACTCTGTAGTTCAGAACTTGAGTCATGAATGTATAATTGGGCAAACCTCGGTGGCTGACCGTCTGCAGGTAATAAGCTGCCTATAGAGTGATAAATTTGTCCACCTATAGAGTACACATACACCTCTCGACCATCATTTATACCACGATCCACTTTCCCGCCCAGGGAGATAAAGCAAAACACAACATTGTATCTACGAATGGCTTCCCGGAAATGACGGCTCATAGGGGTAGAAGAGTGTAACAATTCATTCAAAAAATCTGGTGGAGCACGCCTAGGGGGTAGTTTGACCTTTCCAGCTTTGCAACACAATGAGAAATCGGGATTGACACGACTCTTAGTAGGAACCGTACTTTCTTGCACCCACATAATTGCTGCACAGTATTGACAAATGCTTGTAGGCTCACCCAGACTAAAAAGTTCCACAACAGGATATCCTACAATCAAAGTAGTTACATAAGATAATTCACACATGATGAATAAGTATTTACAATGTAAAAATATAAAATATGATGCCACAAACCATGGGAACGGGAGAACCCCCTCGGTACAGCATTAACCATCCGCCTTTTGTACAGATGAATAGCTCGCATTAAACGTGCCCTTTTTGTCCGAAGGCGGGAGATACATGAACTATAATCTGTGGTAACAAAGTTAATTATGCATGAACTAAATCCATTAGAACGACGTGGAATCCTTCTCCATGACATATATAATGCAATGCACATATGGAATATGTCATGAGTATGCAAAATAGTCTATAATACACCTTACAAAATAAAGAACGACGTTTAAAAGATGCTAAGCTTACCATGTGGAATATGTTGAACAGTACGTCGCAAGCGCGTGTTCAAAATCTCCCGTCGTCGTTTTCGATAGAATTGAGATATCAAGCGATCAATATGCTGAACTTGTGCTTGAAGGGTGAGTATTTCTGCAATTGAAATATACAAATCAAATTATTCTGATTTTGTAACACAGTAAAATTTAATTTCATGTCTAAAAATGAGTCGCGGGACTACGTTGATTAAGACGATCCCTTTCAGCAGTAGTTTGTTGCCTGCAAGGAGGTTTTGGCGGGTTGAATATAGCTCGCATGAACCCTGCAAAATAAGACAGAATTGAGAAAGGGGTTATATGTTGTGTCCATTTTGAATAAGTACAATAACAATGGAACATGGAAACAACCAAAGAAATCAAATTACATTTGCCCTTTGAATTCCGACGGTTGTGAGCACTGGTTTGTACTGAAGAGGTTCCACCAGTTTGTTGATTTCCTGACATTATCTTGATTGCAATCACACTTAAGCATGAACCAGCAAGCTCTAATTGATCAAAAATAAAGGATTGATTAGTACACCACGAAAGGCTGTAGAAGCTGTCTCCTCCCACGCGTCTCCAATCCCTCCCCTCTTGACACACGACCTTCACACTTACAGCTGGGGAATAGTTGGGGAATTCAATTGGAGGAGTAGCAACTCCCTCCGCCCACGCGTCCCTCACAATTGCATATGTGGTATTGAAGTGCAGGGCTTGAGACCGAAAGCGAGACGGAGAAAGAAGCAAACACGGCAGCTGAATATGGGTTCCGAGAGATTTCGAGGGAAGCATTTCACCAGCAGGTCTTTGGGCCGGCTACTTCAGGGGGAAAGCATTTGGGCCGGCTACTTCAGGGGGCTAGAGGCCGGTCCGACTATATTATAAACTGGCCCGGTCCACCAACAGAAAGTGTAGGAGGTGAAACGCACAGTTTTATTTAACTGTGAATTGCCTATATTGCCCTTCCGACAAACCATCTGCGGGCAGGAAATTTGAATCCCTGCAAACTCAACCCTTGTTTTGGCTTCATATATCTTATAGATTATAATACGCTGAAGCCTAAAACTGAAGCCCCATTTCAAAATCCCTGCTTTCAGAGCGTTTCTCGGAGGGGTATTTTTGGAAGTAGCGGCAAAAAATTTCTCCGCATTCCATGTCTGCCCGGCCTGCACCTTGCCTGGGCTGCGCGTAAAATGTATAAACAAACACCTGGGCCTTCATTCCGGCCCATTTCATTTCTCCCTCCCCGCTCACTTTCACTGATCGTCGATCCTACCGCGAGCAACGGCAGACTAGGTATTCTCCGGTGGTTCAGTTACGGGCGGAGCAGCCAAAGGGTTCACGAAACCCCTTCTTCTCCTCCACCAAATTCCGATACAATAGCCCGCCGCCTAACTCCCATCATCTCTACCACGAGTCTGTCGAAGGAATTTCAACCACGTCGTGGTACGCCGTCGAAGCTAATTGCTTTAATTCCCACATTTGTATCTGCTTCGAGCTCCTGCCGCGAAGGGAGGGAAGATGAACAAGTGAAGACCCAGTTATCACACCAATATCTGCAATCGAATTGAAGTCATCATCCCAATTCCACAAAGAACAGAGATCGGGTAATTCCTTTAATTCAATCAAATCTGGGTGGAAAGTGAGGGAGAGAAAAAAGGCTGATGTCTTTTGTGTTTAGTCCAGACGTACCATAGCCAAAGAGGCACGATGCTTGATCTTTTGCTCCCTATTCATGAAATGGATACAGTTGCCCGCTTCATCATCCGAGGTAATTGAAAGGCTGAATGCAGTTTCTTTTTTTGCTCTTTCGATTGCATTGTCTGGTTCTGGTAGCTGCTCTTTCGAATGCACCCTCCGAATTGAGAATACCTATCTATTGCTCAACCAATTTGGGTGTTCAGAGTTTGAAACCCCAGTTCAGATAGATGCTCTACATGCATCATCGTTGCTGCCATCACAGTGTGCATATTTTTCAAGAACAACATCTTTTTATTGGTTCTTACCCTGGATGTTGTCGTTTATTTGCTGCTTTGTTACTTTTTTTTTTGATAAATTTGCTGATTTATTATGGTTCCACTTAAGTCAGTGTGATATATTATGGTTCTTCGTCAATACAATTAGCTATTTTTTTGAATTCATTGCTTTTAACTTATGTCTTTTCTCTATCCTAGGTTAATATCACCTCTTACAAACTAATTAATAGGAAAGGATAAAGGATAGAAAGAGGAGTGGGGAGACAAATAAAGTGACAAAAGCCTTATGAGGTTTGATACCAACCAAATATAACCTGAAACATGGTGCAGAAATTGGAACCTACAGCAGATATAATGTGCTGCGGACTTTGTTTTTTTCCCTTCCTATTATGATGTTTAAATGCAGAGTGATTAATTTTCTTCGACTAACTCTAAAATGTTTATATATTATAGGAATTTGGCCACTAATTAATTCACCGAGCCCTGACCTTGGGTGATTAGTTTGGATACTGATTGAAGATCGCGTAAGTTTTTCTCTTCCCTGACACCAAATGTGATACTTTTTCTCATTCATTAACATATATTTTGGTTTAGCGTTTGGTGGTTGGTGATTATGAGATAATTGAAGCTCACGTTATTCTAAACATCAAATCAATTTTGACAAGAGTTAATGTTACAGTTGATCTTACTTCTATAGCTATTGTAGAGAATCCTTAAAAAAAATTACTTGAGTTTGATTCATGACCATGTTGTTTCTCTGCTCCCTTAGCGGAAAATTTTGGATGTTATGAACCAACTATTTAGGAAAACTGCATTTCAAGAGAGCTAGGAGCAAGACCTGTACGCCCTTGATTTGACTATAATACTGATCTCATAATCATCATGCACTACGTACGCAGGGTTGAAAACCGGTATGCAAAAGCAATTAAATTCAGAGTGTTGTGATTGCTTGCTCTTTTGATATATGCTTGCTCTTTTCATATACTAGGTAGGTGCATTTAGTTGATGAATGAAACCGCTTTGTAAAAGAAATTGCAATTAGTTGCTCATATTTGTTTGCTCAAAATTAGTTTATGTACCCTTTTGGTGTATCGATTCTGATCACAATTCTGTTTGCTGGAGGATTCGTAGAATGAATGAGAAGTCTTCACCGCTGCCTCGCCGCCTGCGCAGCCTTCGACTTTCACGGCCACTTTTGATCCCAGCAATCCGCTAGGGATCGTGGAGAAACTCTTCGACTTCCTGGCCGCGGAGAGCGACTACCTCTTGAAGGACGTGGCGGAGAAAGAGATCGCGGCGGTGGCGAAGGCTGCCAAGGAGAAGCGAAAAAGGAAGGAGGAGGTGGCGGAAAGAGAGAAGGCCGCCGCTGCTAAGGCTGCCAAGAGCAACAATAGATTGAAGGAGGAAGAGAAAGAGAGGAAGAAGCCCGAGAAGGAGGAAGAGAAGGGCTCCAGAGGTAAAATAGTTGTTTTCTTTACGCGGAATTTTGATTCAGGGTTATGACAGTGTGTGTTTAGTCTGCATTTTGCTGCTTCGTGAAACTTATCTGTTTGTGAATTGAATTCGAGGACTGCCTAGCTAAATGGTTGAACATAGGACGATATAGGCATGCCATTATAGTTCCTTTCCGGCTTGATTAGAGTAGGGGAAGTTGTCTGTTGTGTCTGTATATGCATCATTGATATTGTGATGATGCTTCTGTTAATATGCTAAGGATATTGGTATGGTGCTGCAATTGCAAGCCTCTCATTCAAGTTGTGCCTCTTTGGTTTGAGTTTTTGGGTCCTCTACAGATTTGTTTCATCTCTTCCTCTGGCCAATTTGGTTCTTTGTGCTTATAGTGGTTGTTGACTATATAGATGATGTGCTTTGGTTTTGTGAGTAAGCAGGGATTTGGGGTTTGTTTTTGGCGTAATCTTTGTGGCTTCACGCTTCATGTGTCCAAATATAAGCTTGCACAAGGAATAGAAAGAAAGGAAAAGGTGGAAGATGTTAGGTACAAATGGAAAGTGGCGATGCAACGGTTACCTTGGAGTATGATGAGGATGAAATTAGGGAAGAGGAGAATGGGAGAAAGGAGTTGAGAGTAGGTTCTAATGGATGTGGTTTTCATGAATATAGGTGAATGCTTCATAGCTCTCTTGGTTCCTGTTTTTCCTTTAGTCCTCAAAGCAAAAGGAATTCAATTTTCTGCTTCTTCCTGTTGTTTTGTAAATGGGTCTCGGTTTTGTGGTTAATCAGTAGAGGGATGGTATGAAAGAACACCCTTTTGGGGTGTATGAACCTGATACGCATTACTTCAACTTTTCATCAATCACAGACTAGGGAGATGCTTACTGTTTATAGTGTTTTAGCCTTCTAGACTATCCGGATACTAACTGCAGCTCTTTGGGAGAGGCAATTGCTTGCACTTTTCACACTTTTTCTAGTTGGTTGTTGTGGCATTTTTCAGTTTACGCATTATATTGAGTTAAGATTGCATTGTATTTAACATTGTCCGAGGTTTCATGCCTCCAACATAAGCATTTGATGAGGCTGCTAGGTTGAGTGCTTTAAGTAGTGGTTTGGACATATGAACTCTCCAGATTCAGTTTAAGATTCTCAAACTTATTGGCCCTTTTTGGGTCAATTAAGGGGTTGTCCATGAAGATGGGACTTAAGGAAATCAGGTTGTTTGTTTGATTTGCAGGGTGCATGTGTCTTTCTGCAATTTGCAGCTCGGTTAGTGACTTTTGCAGAAACATGAGTTTTTTTTCTTTACTCAGCATTCCCAACATAGAGTAAAGAAAATACTTGCTAGATTTGGGATGTTCATATTTTTTTTTCTGATGTTGCAGGTTGAGAAATGGATGAATGATGCATGATAGAAGAGCTCTATGACCGCCAGCCTTATTCTTTAGGTATGCCTAATGAGAGAGGTGGGCGAATTAGTATGCTTTTAACGGTTCAGCCATAGATGTACCTAGCATAATTCTAATTTGGAGGAGTCTATTACATCTTGCGTGTTATGACGATCTGGAACTTGCATTACTCTTCCATTTCTTTACTTCTTTCTGTCTTGGTTTGTTTTACTTTTGCATGCAGGCGACAACTAGGGCAGGTCAAGAACTCAAGATAGAGACAATGCTGCTATTAGGTGATTACTTATTTGTTCCTTTGTCTTTCTTTCAGTGGCGGGTAGTAATAATAATAATTTAAGTGATTAATGCTGGAACAAGCAAACAAATTTAGTTCTAAATCTTTTTTGGGCCTTTTGGTTGTGATTTGATCATTCTGGGGTTCATAGGTGTCTTCTGTTTTTGTTGTTTCATTGGTGTGAGAAGTAGGCTTAGTTGTTAAGTCACCATGTACCAACGCAGATATAAAGCATGTTCTAAATGACTTTTGTCCTTTGAGAAGTTTGGATGGTGATTCAATCTTCTAATGATTCTTTCATGAAGTATCCTTCCGGAATTTCAATTACTGTACAAAGTACAATGCATTAGGTGATACATGAAAATCATATTGCTTGAAAAGTGAATCCGACCATAGCTCATGGTTTTACTTTAGTTATCTAATTTAGATGTGATGCTCATATAGACCATGTTCAGATTGATTGCTTTTCTTTTCATTCTCTTATTTATGCTAGCTTTCTGTTGTTTGCAGATGAAATGATAGTTTTGCAGTTAGCGCATGTTGAGGAGGTTGAGGTCTTGCGACCAGTCCAGTCAATATTCAATAATCGCTCACATGATTTCATCAGTGCACTTGAAGTAGTGTATTTTCACTTATAGTTGAACTAGCTTATAACCCGACGGAGGAGCTGAGCTGAATATTAAATCTACGGGTTATCCCAATAATTCAATATTTGGCTCAGTTCCTCCGACCAACGGGTCGGGTTATAGGCTAGTATTCTAAATAAACACCAAGAAGAAGAACGAAGAAGAATATCATATGATTTCTAATTTAACTTATAGTCAAGAACTGTCGTTAAGAACACGTAACCCAACCGATCTAACCTCGATTTCATCATAGGCTCACCAAGGCAAATTACCCATCCAGAGCGTCAACTCCTTGAGTTGGTGGCTTAAGTAACCGACTTAAAATTAATAAGGTGCATGGTTTAATTGATATAGTTAGTATTTTGCTTTAATTTATCTAAATATGTCATTAAATTAAGTCATTCACATATGCTTTGTGTGTATGTTTACGCTAATATTATTTATGTTTAGTAAGCATGACATTGCATGTCATCATTAAACTATGTTTCAAAGCAAGCATACAAGTTACATTGATCATGTTTATGATATTACGTTTTATGTTACCAAGATATCAAGTAAGAACATGTAATTGACCACTCACTTGACTAGCAACCCCTAACTACCTTACTTTCCACCATGTGGACGTTTATACTTATGATTAGATAGCACACTTGTAGGTGTTGGTGTGTGCGCTAATTGAGTCGAGTTCGGGGCCCCTTCTCATAAGAAGTGATACTACAATTGTTGCCCGAATTGATAATTAAAACTTACTTGCGCTATATTACACTCGATCATAGGTTGCACTTGGCCTATGGTTGGGATAGTAGTTAAGTGGGATAAGAGTCATGTTTTTAGCGTCGTAGCTAAAAACTTGACTCATTCTAAACTACCATCCCAATCGAAGGTCAAGCATAACTAGCAACCGTGTGTAGTATAGTGAAAGTAATGTAATAAAACAATTGGGTTTACATGTTTCTAGATGTACTGTTACTTCACTTTGGTTTTATATCTAGCCAAACAAGGTTGGAGGTAAAGAAACTAAACTAACTAAACTACTATAAGAACTACACTAGCTAAATTATATGTTGGGAGCTACTTTGGCATTGAAATCCCCCTAGCCACTAACCAGAAAAATGATTGATGATCATCTAACTTGATTCATTATTCATTCATAAAGTGTAGAGTCTTTAACTAGATCTTGAATCTGTACTTGAGCAATCGAGGCCCTCTTGAGTCGGTTGCTTAGAGGGTTGTAACCTTCTCTAAAACAACCAATCAAGGAACCGACACTAGCCCCCTCTATTGGGTGAGATTCCCACCCACACAATACAAAGCAAAGTCCTAATACACACTTGCGTTACCGACCCCTTACTCCCAATATGTGATGCTCTAAACACATAATCAGATTTTCTCTCTCATAGGTCAATATCAAACTCAATTAATGTTGATCAAGGGTGAAATGAACATCAAAATATTGGTGTGACCCCGTGCGGGTTATTAAATTGATTACATAACTTGTATTAACTAACTCATCTTGAGCAAAGTATAACTCAAGATGACGTTGTTAATATAGTGGTCGACCAAGCTCATATCCCACGGGAAAGTTCACGATGGGAAAGGGGAAGATCGCAGGCATGATCTTTGCAGTAGGGGTTGTTGGAGGCCACCATTTACACTTTTCTGGATGGGAATTTTGCGGCCTTACATCAGGGTCGCGATCCTGGATGTCATGGTCGTGATCTTTATCGCGGGCATGGACAACGAGGGCCAATCTTTGTGGCTGTGATCTTGGCACTAGAGGTCGGATCTTGGTGCACAGCTTCACGCCCTCTCTTCATGGTTATCCTTGGTCTTAGTCGTGATCTCTCATTTTCGCACATAATTCTATACGTGTGACCCTTTTTCATACCTACAACATTTGTATCATCTAAAACACCCTAATATGAAAATATTGTCTTCGAAGAACGAAGTAAGGATGTATTTGATGACTTATCAACTTGGTGTTTGACTGTTCCCAAGTAAACCTACTCAAACTAGTACAACCTGGTAAACAATCAACATGGTATGCACTATAGTTATTCGTAGCACTAGTTAGAATTAGGGATGGCAATGGGGCGGGTTTGGGGCGGGTTTGCCTAAACCATCCCCATCCCCATCTTCATATACCCAAACCCATACCCGCCCCATACCCATGCGGGGAATGTTTTGCAAACCCATCCCCATACCCGTGGGTTTCGGGTACCCATGGGTAATACCCATCCCCGTACATCCAACATTATTATACCTAAAACTTACAAGAAAGGTTTTAATTATAACCATAAACAAATTAAACCTATTATATCACGAAGTCAACAAAACACGGTCATTTTCTAAATACGATTCAAAGAATATGATCCTAAAACATCCATTAATACATAATATAGACTATAATATTTTTTAAATTATTATGCTCTAACTCTTGATACATTTACTAAGTAATAATTAACTAACATAATTTTGTTGACAAGGGGGCAAGTGAAAGAGTGGAAGGAGAATTGAGGGAAATGAAGTAGGTTTTGATTAAGGTGGTTACTCAATTGCATTTTTACTATTTATTTTCTCGAGTTATCATCATCATCATTGATAGATTACAATTTAATCCACGTATTTTTTGATATGTGAAGAAATTCTCTTGGTGGGGCGGGTATGGGTATGGGTATGGGGCGGGGGAGGCTAAAACCATACCCGCCCCATACCCATCAAACCTTTTGCGGGTTTTACCCATACCCGCCCCATGCCCGGTCAAAGCGGGGATTCCCCGCGTTGACTGGGTATGGGGCGGTCGGGTACCCGCGGTCATGGGTTTGATTGCCATCCCTAGTTAGAATAGTAGGGGTCGAGTGAACGTTACTCCTATCTCATTGTGAAAACACAAACTCCCGAATGAGGACCATGTCGACTAAATAGGTTTAGACATTCAAAATGTGCACCGGGTGACTCTAAAAAATAATCAAAACAATGGACTCTTTGAAGGTGTAATTTTTTCTTTCTTTTCAATGAGTCATTTTTCTAGTCTCCTTTTTTAAACTTTGTCGCAATTGGCACTAAACATTTGCAAATTTGCAATGAGGCATCTCTCCCTCGTGACCAAGAGTGAAAGGATATTGCCTTCCCGTTCTCAGCTTATGGTGTCAGTTTGACTACATTGTTCTTCTTTAAATTAGATTAATCTGAACTATTGAATTTTAATGAGATGCAAGGCTGAAATTCACTTACAGATTATTTGGTACTAAATGAATCTAGAATTCATTTCATTGTAAAATGAATAACCGTATATAATTCATTGTCAAATGAATTTTTTTTCTTGGTATGACATGATCAAATATTTAGAAATAAAATGAATTGTCATAGAATTCACTATGTACCAAATGAATCTAGAATTCATTTCATTGTAAAATGAATAACCGTATATAATTCATTGTCAAATGAAATTTTTTTCTTGGTATGACATAATCAAATATTTAGAAATAAAATGAATTGTCATAGAATTCACTATCAAATGAATTCTTGTGTTTGATATTTCATATATATAATTAATTTAGTTGATAAAGAGGATAATTATATCATTCTATTATAATTATTAAATACTTGTGGAATTCATTTGGAAATTCTACCTCAATTCTTTGGAATTGCTATAACTAGTTCCGATTTCAGAGGACCCAAGTAACTGCGACACGTTGTTTTTTGCTGCGCTAGCAAAACACAATCGGCGAAGTCGAAGCACCATTTCCGCGCACAGCCCGTAGATATCGAGCCGCCGTAACACGGTGTGGGTAACCACTAGCAGACGGAGTAATACAGAGACCGGCGAAATGAGCGTGATCGACATCCTTACGCGAGTTGATGCGATCTGCAACAAGTACGACAAATACGACGTCGAGAAGCAGAAGAATCTCAATGTCTCTGGTGACGACGCTTTCGCTCGCGGTTACGCCGCCATCGACGCCGAAATCGAAGCCGCTCTTGAGGTAACTTCCGATTTTGCTCCCCTTCTTTAGTGCACCCGTCGAGGTTTTTTCACGGCGGATCGATTCAGGTTTTCCTTGCAAGTTCGAGTCGAGAAAAAAGCGTAGGGATCTTCGAATCTGTCTAGTTGAGTTGAAACGGTTTCTGCTCTCTTTAATCTTTCTGATCTGCAGAAAGCGGAACTTGCTTCCAAGGAGAAAAGCAAAGCGTCCACTGTAGCTCTCAATGCCGAGCTCCGTCGGACTAAGGCGAAATTGCTGGATGAGGTTCCAAAGTTGCAGAGGCTCGCAATAAAGAAGGTATTCAATCAGAATAGTTTATATCTAGGTTTTCGGTTTCTCGCTGTTTGAATCGAGAAAACCATATGAATAGCTGAAAATTTTCTCTTGGTTTGTCTTCCAAAGCATCCTTTCGGAGACCTGGATTGTAAATTATTAAGTCTTGTTCTATAGGATTTTGTTACTTGAGAAGTTTGAAACCTGTGGCAAATTTTTTGGTCCAGTTTTTAAATTCAGCCTTTTGGCTCCCATTTTATTTTTGTTTGTAAGGACTCCGGAAGATATTAAGTGCAAGCCCCTAGGTTTCCCCCCTCCTGTTTCTGTTCGTTCGTAACGAAGGGTATCTATTGGTTTTATCAGCTAAGCTCAAGTAGAAATGTTCTGATTCCCTTTCTTGTTGTCTTATTTGCCATCCATTGACAGATAAAAGGCCTTTCGACAGAAGACCTTGCGGCCCGTAATGACTTGGTTCTTGCATTGCCAGATAGAATCCAAGCTATTCCAGATGGTGCTGCAGCTGCAGCAAAACAACCTGGAGGTTGGGGCCCCTCAGCTTCCCACACAGAAATAAAATTTGATTCAGGTAATTTATAAATCTGGTTCATATTATCATCTACTATTGTTGCATGGTTCCTCGTTTCTTTTTTCCTTTCCGTAAATGAGAGTTTACCAATGATGCATAGCTCACTGGACGACTCAGGTGCGTTTTCCTTACATTTTTATGTTGGTTGTAGATGGTCGGTTTGATGATGAATACTTCCAAGAATCTGAGCAGTCGAATCAGTTTAGGCAGGAGTATGAAACACGTAAGAGGAGGCAGGTGGGTGAAGCATAAACAGTGCAGTGAAATTCTCAGTTGCCTCTCATCATAAAGTCTCTATATATCTTAGCATGATGACCATTAAATTTAAAACAGGATCAAGGTCTGGAGATGATTTCAGAAGGTTTGGATACTTTGAAGAACATGGCCCATGACATGAACGAGGTAGTAGTTTTTCCCTCATCTCTTGATGTTGCTTTTCTTCTCCTTTTCCCATCTACATATGCCTATTGATGCAAAGAAGTGGCTGTTGAGCGAGAGATGAATGGACCACTTTAGTCAAGTTACTCGCCTGTGAATAAATTAAGGCCTCGGATTAATTGATCTTATGTGACGCTGACAGGAACTGGATAGGCAAGTTCCTCTGGCTGACGAAATCGATTCCAAGGTAAATAGCATTCAGATTTCTTTTCTTAAAAGCAAGACTTGGTGCTATCTAATTTTGAGGATCTGTCCTCTGGTTCTTTCAGGTGGACAAGGCTGCATCTGACCTTAAGAACACCAATGTTAGACTTAAGCACACTGTTACTCAGGTATGATTTCATGTCAGTTAAAAGATTTTCAATCAGCTGCTACCCAATCTAGTTCCTTGCTTTACTGAATAAACATTTGCTCTACAGTTGAGATCCAGCAGGAATTTCTGCATCGATATTGTTTTGTTGATCATAATCTTAGGCATTGCTGCTTATTTGTACAAGTAAGTTGCTCCCTGCACTGATCAACTTGCGTATATTACTTTAGATGCCCATGTAACTACATAGTGTTATAGATCATATAAGTTTGTTGGGAAGTTACCTAAAGCATGAAAGCATGGATTTTTGTAGTGTACTGAAGAAGTGAAAGAAAAGGGGCACTGTTGATGGAGACTCATCTGACATTATGATGATGTTGGCTATCCCTGGCACTGTAATGTACTTCAATGACTCCGCTTGCTTGCCTTTTTTGTTTGGTTTGTCAATCATGTTTATGAGTTTTCTGGCTCCAAGTTGAGAATGTACCTTTCTTGTGTAAAGATCTCAGAACTCGGTCATATATGTATTCATTTCCCTTCTTTCCTGTTCTTCCACAGTAATTTGTTTCCAAATCTAATCTTCCCACACCATTTCTAGCCTACATGTAGATTAAGTAAAAATGGTCTAGAAGCAGAACTAGAAGCAGAAAAATCACAAGTTCAAGAAAAGACATCTTATTTTATGCCTCGGTGACAGTGAGGGTCACTAACTTGGATATGATTTCCTTATTAGATCCTGGGCTGAGGACTCGTGTGCCTAGAGGTACAATATTTCTGAACATTTTCTAGTTACCTGTGACTGTAAATCTGATCCCAAGCAATCTGTACAAAAGGTATAACTGGCTCAAGTGACATGAAGCATATAATTTGATAAGTGAAACGTTCTATTGATTCTTCCTACAGCTCTGTTATATTTAGACCCTTCTCCTCCAAATGGGGCTGGCTATGTTGATGTTGTGATTGATTCATTACTCCTGAACCTTGAGGTTTGTAAGGAATGCTGTTGGAATTGATCCTGGGAAATGCACTATCCGCATGCCTGATAAGATCAACCACATATTTTATTTCGTTTTGGATATTCGCCATATCTATTTGATTGTAAAGTATTAGAGATATGGTAGCTCCCCCCAGAAAATTCTGCTGTTACAAATTTGTAGAAATTCAATGACCTGATTTTTGTGGGCAGTAGTTGCTAGTGATCTTCTGAAACAACTCTCAACATAAAGGAGTTTTCCTTTTGCACTCAAAGAACCCTACTACGGAGTTATGTACATTACATTGTATGGTGGGTCCTTCTCTGGTGTCTAGTTGCTTGGGAAGCTTAAAGTTATGAAGCTATTCATACTCTGCCTGATTGGTTTTGCTGTAGAGCACCATCATTAGTATTCTAAAACTCATCGTCTCCGCAAAAGTTGATGTCGAAGGTGTCTCCACATATAGATATCATGGCGTCTTCGTCAAAATCTCCATTTTTAGGCTTCTTGCCTAGGTAAAAACTAGAATCCTGCTGCTGATGATCTCTTTCAACATCTTTCCGCTTCAGTGGGTTAAAGAAGTTATCGAGCGAAGTAGCTGATGAGAATTGCAAGTTCTTATCATCAGAAGACTCCTCCTCATAACCCGAAATGCTAGACTTGTCACTGCCTTGAAAGTTAATGCTGGATGCTGCTGGTTGTTTAGTGGTGCAGGAGGAAAAATCTTGAGATGCAAATATGTAGGGCAGCATGGGGCACTCCTTGTACAGGTAATTCTTCACCACGTCGTCATTAGGGTTGCTGAAGTAGTTCCTCACCATGTCATCATTATTATGGTTGTTTGTATTCCCTGGCTTGTTGACCAATTCGATACTAGGAGTTGTCATATTCATTGTCTTGCATAGATCTGCACTCATTCGCAGCAGCTCATTCTGTTTCGGGAAAGTCCCTGCTAGTTCTTGAATAGGTGCACTTCGATCTTCCCACAGGCTCCTAGGGCTGCTGCACTTTTGCCTAACCCGGCATAGGACCCAGTCGTCCAACTGCAAGGAAAGAAGGGATTCTCAGTTTTTCACAGCATATCAAATGGGCAAACAAATATCAAATGAAGGGTTTTGTATATTATTTACTTACCCTCATAGACCCTTTTTGCCTGGCAGTGGAGACCGCGGTATCAGGCAGTCTATATTCATACATGATCCAGTCAGTTTTAATTCCCTTAGGTGGGCGTCCTTTGTAGAACACAAGAGCTTTCTTAACACCCACACTTGCCATTGCAGTAGAACTGAGAATGGGTTTGTCAGTCCCGGTAGCCTTCCAGTACCCCGAACCTGCTGCCCTGTTCGGCCGGGCTCCATTTGGGTACTTCCTGTCCCTTGGTGTGAAGAAGTACCATTCGTCCTCTCCGAACAAAGCCTTCTCTGTTCGTTACAGATACATGGGAAAGTCGGAGTTGCCCGTTAGAAACTAGGAATAGACAACACTTGCTTATAGAAAAAAAGGAAATGGAAGAATGGAGAATCGGCCTTCTGCAATGATATTACATACTTGGTAGCTCCCACGGGTCGAACTTGTAGAGATCGATCTCAGCAATGATGGAAGCCGGGAGAGGAGCCGATCTGATTCTGTTCTTCAAGTACTGTACTATGAGTTCTTCGTCGGTCGGGTAGAATCGAAACCCGGGCGGCAGATGGATATCAGACCCGGATTTCGTTTCCATAATGAAAGGTGAGAAGTAAGGTCTTTCTCTCTTTTTTTCTTCAGGAAAGAAATTGCTATGGAAAGAGGGTTTGTTGAGTTTGTATGGAGTTGTGTTGGAGTCAAGGTGTATTGTATTTATACAAGGCATTGGTCTCCTTGTGCCGGCATAGAAAAGGAAAAAAAAAAAAAGTGGAAAAGATTAGTTTATGAAATGGTCCAAAGGTTCAAAGGAAGGAAGCAGGGAGGGAAGGTTTGTGGCATTGGAAGTGACTGAATCTTGTGGGCAACCTTTGGAAACGACAATGGTGAATGTGAAACTTTTTTTTTTTTAGGGGGTAATTGGAGCTGGGCGTGTAACTAACTGGCTGGGTTCAGTTCACATCCTCCCTCCTCCTAGGATTATGCTCTGTTTTGGCAGTATCATCGGACAAAAAGGGTTTGCTGTGGAGGAGAAAACTCTTTTGAGGCAGAGTGTGGGGGGAACAAGACAGGAGCTTGATTGGTAACAGTGGGTTGATGGAGCTGTTTTTATCTTAAGCTGTGAACTAAGTTAATGTTATTTCTGTTGCCAGTAGGGTTTCCCATCGTTTTCTCGTCCTCGACCACCTTATCCTAGTCTAGTTTAAGATAAATTAAACTTAGGTTTTTTTTTGGCATTTAGGATTGTTCCCCTGTGTAGTTCAGGGTTCGCATGAATTCTATTTAATCAAATACTGGAAAAAGATGTACTACAAATGAGGCAAGCTAATCCATTAGGCTCCGCTTGGTTATAAACACCGGTTGAGCTCGATTAGTTTACTGAAACGTTGGCTCTTTAATAAGGAAGTTCGTCAACTCTACTCGAATTTGGCTCATTTAGTTAACGAGTTCTTTTGAGATTAGGCCATTCATCAATATAAATGGTCGAACTTATTGAGCAAGTCAATCTGGAATTAAAGCGCGGCGGTTGGTGAATGAGATATGAGTCCAGTTGCAAGCTCATATATGTTAAACGGTCGAATGTTTGAAGTAATCTTTTGCTATATTTCATCCTTTCCCAATTGAGCCCTCCCCATTACTTTTGCTGCTAGTGTGACATTACAATGAGCCACATTGCTTAACTAAGCTAAGCTCCTATAGAACACACAATATATCTGTTATGCTACCCTTAATTTTGCTGACAAACAATATATATACAAGGAGACATTATGCATTGAAAAGCATAAGGAAACCTATATTGTATCATAATAAATCATAAATAGGCAATATATCTGTTACCGCCATGAATGATGCTATATATATATTCACTCGCCGGCAAGGTTCGATCGATTTAGCTCGGTTTAGTTTGGATATATACATTTATAAATTTTATACTATAAAATCGCATCTAACATATGGGTAATGACATATGAAATTACAACAAAATCACAGTTCGTACTTGGATCTGACATATAAGTGAAAGTTCAAACACACTCATAATTACTACATCAATATTCAATTGTTCAACTTATAATTTCAAATACAGGTTAGACGAAAGAAAAAATTGGAAAAGGGGGCGCATTTCGCAAAACAAAAGGGAAAAACGACGACCTGTGACCTCCAACACAAAAACCTTGTATGTGACACCCATTTTCCTCAGCGGGTACCGGATCAACTCGCGGATTGACAGGTCTTGCTTGTCAGGCTTTATATTGGTTATCCTCTCAAACCTCCTCCCGCTCCCCCCTACTTTGACTTGAACCATTGAGTATTGATGCTAAAAAATTTGAGGCTCTTACATCCCACCAAAGTAAGTTGTTGTCCATTAATTGTTGAAAACCCGGTTTAGCTTATTTCTCAAGGTGCTCTGTTTTCACTCTAGTCCACATGAAAATCAAGGGTAATTTAATTATTATTATCCACATTTTACAATTAGCAAGCCGGCTTAATTAACCCGTACCATGCCGATTAACAATTTGTTGTACCCACTTTCTATTGTACTCGGTTGTCTTGATGGGGAACTTCCAATGTAGGAGGAGGGGGTAAATTAATTAAGTATAATTCCAAACACTAAGAGACTAGATTAGTCTTCACAAACCCCCAAACTCCAGTTGTTGATCTTTGCACATATGGGGTTTTTTGAGTCTTAGGTTGCTTCATCAACGGGTTTAGGTTTTTGGAGTGAGAAAGAAGAAAACGTTTCGTGGCTATGTAATTCCAAAATCTGGAAAAACGGAATCGGCCTTTTTTTTTGGTCTTGGGAAAGGACGGTCACGAGCCGGAGGCCGAGGGAGGAGAACCCAATCAATTGGAAGGAGGCCTCTTTGTTGCCTTTCATCTGTCTCTTAACTAATTCCAGAGGTGGCTGTGTGACTAATAATAATAATAATAATAATAATAATAATAATAATAATAATAATAATAATAATAATAATAATAATAATAATAATAATAGTGGACAATTTTTTAAATGGTTAATAACATTTTATATTCTCTACTAATTTTTTGCGCGAACATGTCCTTCTAGTATTAAAACATAACGAATATACCCTTCCGTCTAATTTTCTGTTAAATGATCATTTAATGAGTTATAAAATGACCCAATTTTCCCTCATGAACTCATAATTTCGATTTAATTATCCAGATTATTTAAAACCTACAGACTCCTAAAGTTCTCTTTGACATCACATTCCGTCTTCCTCCAGTCGCCCGTCAAATTCGGCACCTTTGTCATCGACGGCGGCGGGGAGCAGGTTCGGCGGACAGGGAGGGTTTCTGCTGCACGACCTCTTCTCCACACGAAAAAACACAACGGTGGCGCTCGATCTCCAGCAGGCAGAAAGAGGTTGCCACAGCCGATTCACCAACTACCATTCGCAGGAGAAAATTCTCAATCGAGCACCGTTGTTGTATCTTTGTGTGGGGGAAGAGGCTGATTCGCCATCGCCAAAAGCCTGCTCCAGCCGGCGGCGTCGATGGCCCGATGTTGATGGGCGGCTTTCTCCTGTACCGGGGAGTAGAGGGGTTATGAGCTCTTAAGAGTTAATGAGGGCAATTGAGTCATTTTATAGTTCATTAAACGGCTCGTTAACAGAAAAATAGACGGAAGGATATATATTCATTACGTTTTAATACTAAAAGGGTATGTTCGTGCAAATAATTAGTAGAATGATACATTTGTTAATTTCACATTAGTAAAGAGCTGCAAAAAGGCTATTAACCCTTTTTAAAACATTTATTCACCCGACCGGAAATTAGACCGATTTGTCTGCATCAATCTTCGTTCAAATTGCTCGTGAAAAACAGAGATTAACTCTAAACGATTGCAGAATCCATGTGGCACGCCCAGATTGGAGCAGTTGATATCAAGGGTGGGAAGCAAAATCATCAGACCAGACAGAAGCAGAGACGGTCCAAAAGCCCAGCCCAGACGTCCATTTTACGAGTGAAGACAGAAAAAGATCCATCAAGGAATTGGTCTGCATCCAGTTGGCGGAGAAGAGAGTAACAAACAAACAAAATGCCTGTCCATCCGCGTATTTTTTTTAACGTATAAAAATAATAACAATATAAAGTAAAATGTCCACGGAAAAATACAAATTAATTGTTTAACCACCATTCCTGTTGTATTATTTACGTGGAACGATATCAGCAATGGGGAGGGAATGTAAATAATAATAAAAAACAATAACGGTGAGAACAATCAGAACGAAACCTATATTGGCGCATAGTTGCTTAATTCGGTTTTATTACATTGGCACCAATAGACTCCAAACTTTGGAGCTAACAGGACCGTTAAAAAAAAAAAAAAGAAACATATACACAACATAACACTTGTTGATAAGCAACAAATATTAATATTTTTTTTAACTTTCAGTATATGCTAAAACTAAACCCCTAACTTAAATAAATAATTTGGCCGTAGGTGCTGTCGAATGTTCTTCCACTCTTTGGAGTTATTTTGTCTATTGTACTATTATCTTGGAATTATTTTAGAAAAAATTAACTTTTGTTCAAACCCTAAATTGATTTTTTTTTAATATGGTATTGAAACACTCCATTCAATTTTTGTTTCGTGTAATTCGGTATAGGGTAGGTTGCTATAAGAAGAATGATCAAAGGGACCGTTGGAATATCGGCAATCTGTGTCATCAAGTTTCATGCCCACTTCATATATTTAATGTGATTTTGAAACAAAACAAGGATTTATAGGTTAGTTTTTAAAATTCTCGGGGGGTCGTGCCCCCTTATGGCTTTTGTAGCTCCTCCTCTAGTTGTATATGGTTCTATTTTTGTGATTTTTTGGGTTTGATTCATTGAAAATTTTCTATTTATGTTAACATAAGGTGCACCAAATCTTGAGCTTTATACTCTACTTGGCTAAAAACTAATCATATTAGGTCAATGATCATAAATGTAGAGTGATGAAAGATCTTGATATCTATTTTATATAGGTGAAAGCTCTTATGAATCGACTATGAATATAATAACAGAGAAATACCTCTGACACTATTGTTAAGACTTAGACAATTTTAATGAGGATAATTAATAATATAGGGAAAATATATACACTTTGTTTGGATAGAGGGGTAAGTTGAGGGGGGAGCAAAATTGGGGAGTAAACACAATTTCCGATATTTTTGCATCCGTTTGGTTAATAACTTATTAATGTTACTATTTTGCACTGCCCCATTTTGGGGCGCAAAGAAAAGTAGAGGGAAGAGGGGAAGTGAGAGGTGCGCCCATATGGCCATATTTGGTTATTGTTAGTGGGAGGTGGGGTCTAGGGGAGTGAAAAGATGAGTAAGTTAAGTTATTTTATTACTTTTTATGTTTTCATTAATTTATAAATAATTATAATTATATTAAATATTTTGTTTTACCCCTACTTTATGCACTCATACTTTTTCTCCCAAACAATAATTTACACCTCGCTTAAATTTACTCCCCCTAAAATTTACACCTCTATTTGCACCCTCCTCGAATTTGCACCCCCTCTCATTGCCTCTTATGGATAATCATCAAAATTGCATTGAAACATTGTGGAACTTTTTTTTTGTCAAAAGATATCATATATTGATAAAAGATAGTTACATCCTGGAAACCAGCCAGGCCCTGAAATCAAACAAACGACTCATAGTCGGATACAAAGAGAGGGCTTTTCTAGCTACCGAATGAGCTACCCTATTGTTTTCCCGACCTATAAATCGCACACTAAACCCCGGGTGATCACACAAATATTGCCCAATTTCCTCCAGGATCGCCCCCAAACGGTTGTCCCTCCTGTCACCCTGATTAATTTTATCAATAAGCACCTTGGCATCCCCCTCAAACCGGACCTCCGTGAAACCATACTCCAAACACCAGGTCAGTGCCTCTCGCAGCACCAGCAACTCTACCAGTGCAGGCTCATCCATCCTAGGAAACTGCACCCCCTGTGCCAGAAGTATCTTCCCCTGAACGAGAAGAACCATCCCACCAGCAGAGTGCGATCCCCTCCTGGTTGCCCCATCCCACCTGCAAACCATATTTGAATCCTCCCCCGAAACCAACTGAACCCTTGGCCCTGCCACCGTAGTCGCCTGCTCCAGGGGCAGAGCCATCCATTCCTCAACCTGTTGATGGATCTGTCTCATTAGCGCGGGAATCCCAAATTGTTTGCCTTCAAAGACAACCCAGTTTCGTGACCGCCAGATCCGCCAAAGGACCGCAACTACCTTCATAACCACCGATGGCTGGTGGAGCAAGGCCAACAGACGCTTGAGGAATAGAGGGAACGTATGACGAGGCAATCCCTCTCCCAGATAATCCAGCCCAGAATAGTCCCAGAGAGCCCTCGCAACCGGACAATACAGAAACAGATGTTCCATTGTCTCAGGGCTCTCCCAGCAGACTGGACACCGGGGCAACACCGGAACCTTTCTCCCAATCAATGCCTCCGTTGTAGGCAGAACCCGGTTAAGAATTTGCTAGACAAAGACCTTCAACTTCGGAGGAATCTTAGCTTCCCAGACCCTAATCCAACTAGGTTTGTCCATCCAACTAACCTCAGATCGCCATCCTCCCCTCCGCCTATCTAACTCAACAGCCAGATGATAAGCAGACTTCACCGTAAACACCCCATCCGCTGTGGTGTGCCAAATAAGCTTATCAGCAATACTCCGGCGTGGAAGAGGAATAGCCTGATGGCTTTGCACGTAGGAGGATCAAACCATTGACTCAGCTTCCTTTCCGACCACCGCCCTTCCCCTTGACATATAACTTCTGCCACCAAGGGATCCCCCCCTCCGGAAGGATTACCGGATTATAGCAGGGGGCGTCCAACTGGTGATCCGGGATCCAATTGGAGTGGAGCAAAGAAGCCGAATGACCATCGCCAATCTGCCATCTTACCCCCTTCTCTAGCAACTGGCGCCCATAAAGGATACTCTGCCATCCCCAAGAGGGACGAGATCTCGCCGTAGCCTTGAGGAAAGAACCCAGTGGAAAGTATTTCCCTTTATAAACTTGGGCAAGGAGACACTGCGGTTCATTCAGGATCCGCCAGCCAATCTTTGCTAATAGAGCTTGGTTAAAATGCTCAAACTGGCGAAACCCCATTCCCCCCTCATGTTTGCTCCTACACATGTTCCGCCAGGACACCCATCTAATCTTGAAATGATCCTCAGTAGCACCCCACCAAAATCGGGTCACGTGTCTATCAAGGAGCCGACACAGGGATAGGGGGAGTCGGAAACATGACATAACATGCAAGGGCAGGGCCAGAGCTATGGACTTAATCAGAGTTTCCTTAGCAGCCCATGAGAGCGTTTTCTGTTTCCATCCCTGAAGCCTCTCTATTAGCTTCTCCTCGAGATAGCGGAAAATGGCCATTTTGGATCTGGCCACCAGAGTAGGAAGCCCCAGGTATTTATCATGAACCCCTACTGCTCCAACCCCAAGAATCGCGGCCAAAACCCCAAGAAACATTGTGGAACTTGAAGCCAAGCCTCTCTCAAAGTTTACAAATGAAGACCTATAATGCTATACAAGTAACTCATTGTATACTATCAGGCTAACCGCAACCCGTGGGGCAAAAAATGAGGGTTTTAAGGCTAAAATGGCCTTTTAGCCCCCTCGAAAACAAAAAGGGTTGCAACGAGGGGGCTACTATTTTCTGTTTCGTATTTGTATTCGTAACTTATGAACAGTTTAAGTTTTGTTTTTAATTTAAATTTTATATATTTATTCATGATAATTTGATACGAACATTCTGATAAAATTTGAGCAATTTCTAAGATACTTTTTAATAGTTAAAATAATTAGTTAATCACTTCATGATATGACAGTGCTAAAATGATGTGAAAGTTTTTTGCTAAAAAATATCAAAATGGATGATACGAACACGGAACCGGTACCTGTAGTTATCAAAGTCGCACAACCAATAATAGGAATAAAAACTAGGGATAAGGTGGTATTGAAGTTCAAACTCGCACCTGGGAGAAGGCTCTTTCAATACAAGGGTAGAAGCTCTCGAGGGAAATACTTGATTGATACAGAGACATGCTCAACGCGATTGGAGTCCACCAACGACGAGAGCAAAATTCACAAGCCAAAAGCTCAATGAACAAAAAGGGTTTATTTCTTCAATTAATCAAAGTCTTCACTCTCTTCCCTAAAAATCGTGTTTAAGACTTTATATAGGCTAGGGAAACTACAAACTTGTCCAAACACATAAAAGGAAAGGAATCATAAACCAACAAGGTATCTATAATCCGTTAGCTCCGATCCCTGGGCAGGAATTGCACCTTCTGTCCCCGGGTGTCCTTCCTGTCCGAATCCCCGGGGTGCTATTCGAAATCCCTCTAACCGGGGATTTTGGCTCCCGTCCGTCTTCTTGCTCCCACGTGGTACGTCCTTCTTTAAACTTCGAGCAAGGTGATTTTGGGTCATCCGGGAGGCTCGCATCATTCCCTCCCTGTTGAAGAAGCTTTTCCCTCAAAGCTTGAGTAAAGCACAATGCATTATACTCTCATTCGAACTCAAGCATACCTCAGATCTCATGATCCAAGCAAGCTTCCCAGCCTGGCTTCCAAATGAAATTCTATGCATCATCATCAAGAAAGAACAAACAGCCTCCACAATCCCACGAAATCAAGATCTCAAACTGAACGGCAAACAAGGGCTCCAATCCATGAACTTCAAAGATCAAGTCGTCATAGTTCATCCCTAGAATCCTCCATCGGGGTTCACTGTCTTCTCGTCTCTTTTTCTTGTACTTCCGTTGAAAGAAAAGAAAATCATCCACAGAAAGATGAAGATTACGTCACTGCTCATCTCCAGGAGAGCCTCGAACCTAGTCTGCACACTCTTTAGTCTTCGTTACTTGTTTTGCAGTGACGGTCCTCAAAGCTTGTGGGCTTCTGCAAGAGAAATCATCATCACAATAGTCATAAAAAGGATTGAGATAGACCATCTGTTCCTTTTCCACCATGACCTAAAATATGATGAATATGAAGCCCGTAGGGTTGCAGTTATAGTAGACATCTCCATCTTCCTTTTGCGATTCTGGAAAGTTGGTAGATGATTCACTCCCTTCGAGTTTCTTTCGCTTTGGAGTGCCTGGTGTTGGAGAGACCACTCTTTTGCCTTCAAGAAACTCGCCAGAATCGGTGGCATCATTCGACTAGTCCTCTAGCTCAACGTTGTCTTCCTCAGAACTCGAACTTTGTTGCACCGGAGAACACGAACTCAAACTCTGATCAGTCAGGGTTTGAAGCAAGGTTCCCATAAGATCCATATGTGTTGCAAGCTTTTTTATGGCATCTGCATGGTTTGGCTCCATTGTTTGTACCTTTGCTATCTTCTCTGCCACTGTGTTGAACCAGATGTCTCATACTACTTGATACTAGTATGGAACCAGTACCCGTAGTTATCAAAGTAACACAACCAAGAGCAGAAATACAAACTAGGGATGGGCGGAATTGAAGTTCAATCTCACACCTCAGAGAAGGCTCTATGAATACAAGGGTAGAAGCTCCACCACAATCATGGGGAATGCTTGATTGATGAGAGATACGCTCAACGCGATTGGAGTCCACCAACGACGAGAGCAAAATTCACAAGCCAAAAACTCAATGAACAAAAGGGGTTTTTTCAATAAATCAAAGTCTTCAATCTATGACATGAAACTCGTGTTTAAACCTTTATATAGGCTAGGGAAACAACAAACTCACCCAAATACATAAAAGGAAAGAAATCATAAACTAACTAGGTATCTGCAACTCGTCAACCCCGATCCCCAGGTTGGGTCTTCAAATCTTTGGGCGGGGAACGCACCTACTGCCCTGGGGAACCCTTCTTGCCTGAATCCCCGGGGTACTCCTCGAAATCCCCGGATGGGGAATCCCCACTTCTGTCCGGAGATTTTGACTCCCGTCCATCTTCTTGCTCCCACGTGGTACGTAGGGATAAAAAAATTACCCATACCATGAGTTTTTTGCTATATAACCGGTAACCCAATCAGGTTGGGTATGAAAGCCAAATAGAAGATATATGGGTAGAGTTTGATGAGTTTGTACCCGTACTCATTTATTTGGGTTGGGTTTTTAAAACATGAATTTTGCTTTATACCAATACCCATACGAAGATTACAGTTTGGTACATAAACTTAATAGATCTTTAGATTTAGTACCTAAATTTAATGTTTTTTGCATATGTCCTCAAAACATCAATGAAAAATTACATTTTAGTAACTAAATTTTAGGGGTATTACATTGTGATACCTAAAGTTTTTAGGATTTGCAAATAGGTCAACTTTTCTGTGTAGTTAAAGCACTCTCAAATAAATGGTCATCCATCTCCAACCCATACTCATTTAGATTATGAAAGCAATATCCAATTCTTACCCAAATTCATCTAAAACCCTCCAAACCCATATATACTTCACCCATAATCAATGGATCTATTTTGATTTTGGTAAAATTACTCATGGGTGGGTAATTGTCATCCCTATTGACACGCCCTTCTTTTCGCTTCGAGCAGCGTGATTTGGATCACCTGGAGGCTCGCATCAATGGATATCATCTTGTAGAGTACAAAAATTATAATATTCATATCCAATAGGATTTCAAATCCAATGTAAAATGAATTATATATGGTCAGCACATTTGTAAATCCATACCGGTCGAATCAGATATGGTCAGCCTTCAGCTCATTAGCACATTTGAATATCCCTGCTGAAAAAACCCAATCAATTATCTCAAAACTCTTATTTCTCTCATTTAGTTTTGGGCATAAGATTTTTAGTTTACAAATGGAATGTGTTTCGTATTGTTTTGTATAGTAACCTAAGCCTATAATAAAACCTAAACATTCCGCCGGGTACAAGCTAGTTCCTATAGTAATGGAATAGTAGTGGTAGTAAGATGGTTGACAATGAGACGGTAAATAATTGAATTAGCTCTCAACAGCTTAACGGGGAAAGAACAGAAACAAGTTCATGAATTCAGCGGTTTCGGAACAAAACTTTTCTGTTCTCTATATTATGATTCAGTTCTGATGATCTGTCTAAGAGGCCGTCTTTTTTTTTGGTCAGGGTAAGTCTTGTTAGTGCTCGTAGCGCAACAGAGGCGAAGAGTAAAGCGCGATTGGATCAGGAGAAACATCTCTCTTTCCCGCCTTGGAAAGGAACTCAGAAATGGAACTGAAAACCGCCCCCGCCACCTCCTCCTGGAAATCCACCATCAAACCCGCCAGGAAAGCCACCATCAAACTGGAAAGAGAAATGCTGGCCGCCACCACCACCACCGCCGCCAAATGGGTTAAAACCGCCACCACCACCTCCCATCCCCATGTCTTCAACGTCTTCTCCTCTGTCGAATCTAGCTCGCTTCTCATCGTCTCCTAATACCTGGATGTGATGAATGCGGAGATGTCGAGAGCAGTATGTCAACTTGCCAGTTCCATAGTCAATTAATGGCGTGGTAATGAGAGTGTTAGGCAAGTGTTAGTATGGGAATCACACACCTCGTAAGCAGCAGCAATTTCTCGGAACTTATTCTCTGCTTCTTCTCTGTTCTCGACGTTCTTATCAGGGTGCCACTGCAAAGCAAGTTTCTTGTAGGCGCGCTTGATTTCAGCTATGGAAGCGGTTTTAGATATGCCCAATATCTTATACCAGTCTTTGCGTTTGCTCATCTTGAGAGCTTTCTCAGCCCTCATCAGGGCTTCACGAATATTCATATCCTGCAAAACCAACCATACTCGAGCAAGTCAGGACTTACATAGCTACTTCCTGAGCTCAGAAGCAACGGTACAAGAGGCCACAATTAGCCATATGTTTAAGCAACTGGCAAAAGGAGCGTACGCAGAAGGCCTTAACAGGCCTAAACAAAATGAATCTGACTTTCCTACTAACCTGTGGTGATTGTTGAGCTGCTGATTTCAGATCCTCAACAGCTCCTTCCCAGTCCTCAGTTAGAAGTTTTGCTTCACCCCTCTGTAAAAATTGAATACAAGGAAAAGCTCTCTTCTAAGAATCCTAATATGCTGATCAGCCTCAGAAAAAAGAATTTTAAGACATGGCATACCTGAACTAAAGCTTCAAGAAGTTCCTCATCTATATTAAGTGCATCATTGCAGCTATTTAATGCATCGTTACCCCTGCCAAGCGTGACCAGGACCTTGCACAAACCCAGATGAAGATTGACATTGTGTGCAATATGATCGGGGTCCATTGCTAGAGCTGCTTTGTAGTCCTCAACAGCGACTCGAAGTTTACCCTTGTTCGCATTATCTTCAGCCTAGTGAAAAGAAAGAAGATGGAAACTGATCGGTAAATCAATCTTGCTGACAGAAAAGGACTGCTGTGAAAAAGAAAAAAAATGATTCATGAACTTACACTTTTAGTCTTTTTGAGCAATTTTTTTAACCCGAAATATGCTTTCTTCAGTTCACTGTGCTCAGGATCAAGACGAAGACCTTTCTGATAATGCCTAAAGACAGCATATGACCGGTTATGAAGAATGCAACTAGCGGTATCTCATCAAGAAAATTTGAGAAGGCAAGTTAACAAGCTGACGATATTGAAAATTTAATGTACTCACTTTGAGGCGACATCATGATCTGCTAGATAGTAGTAGGCACGACCACGGAGAAGGAGGGCCTCTAGATTGTTTTCATCCTCGCGCAGAATATATCCACTCTCAGAGATGGCAGCAGAGAAGTCTTTAACTCCCAACAACAACCTCACCTTAAGTATTTTAGCCTGCAAAAGAAATTGAAGCTCATTGTCATTGGACAGAATACTTGAGTGATGAAATCCTCTTGCCAGTCAGCATATAGCTCAGTATAATGCAATCATGGTGCTATACTCATCCTGCGAATAAAATAGTACCTTGGAGCAGGCAGGTGAAAAAACAAGCACAACTTTATCAACAAACTCCAAAGCTTTTGAATGATCTCCGGAACTAGAAAGAGTTAGGGCTGACTCAAAAGCACTTTTTGCTTGATTTAACTGAGAGAGCTCCTTTTCTGCAGCAGAATGCCCTGGTTTTAGCTCCAGAAACTTTTGATAGCTTATTTCTGATTCGTCATATCTACACAATGAAAATTATTTGTTAAGTTGGTCAATAAAAGAAAGTAACGGAGAAGCATAGAGGAGCCAAGATAGCTACTTTGAATAGACAACAGATCGGTCGAGCGAATCTACAAGGAATCATTGGGTAACAAAAGTTCGTTTGCAATGTTGAATTAACACAAACCTGCATATTTGACGAAGAATGGAGGCACGCCGAAAATATGCTTCTGAAAGCGTTGGATCTGCCTCAATGGCAGAATTTAGATCATCAAGTGCATCACTATAGAGTTTGACTTTTACACTTTGAGCAACCCTCTCGAACAACTCCGCAGCGCTATTGGTCTTACTATCTGGTGGCAATTAAGACAACAGTAAGCTACTCTCGACTGAAACTCCAACTTCACTGGAACACGTGAAAGCATGTAACTGTTCTAACTTTTACAAAGCCGAACTTCACCGAGTTCAAGCTTGAGGCTCGCGCTCTCGTGAACTACCAATTCATTCACGAATCGAATGCCAAAGAAGTTATAATTACAACCATTTATCGTCAGCTGAATCATATGAAACGAGAGCACCAAATGGTCAGACAGATTTTTCACTAGCAAGTCTCACTATCTAGAAGAGATGCAGGTACTTCAGTTCACTAAAAACCCCGCTGGCCTGCTTCCTTACTACCCCATGTTTCCCCATTGAAGCATTGGGTTCGGGTCAATTCTAATAAATATCGAAACTTTCGAGGATCCCACAACCCTAAGCAAATGTCAATTAGCGAACGTCGGATCTGAGCATCCGCCATTAACACCAAATTTGGATTCAGACAATAACAAAAGGCTGGATTCGAATCAGCAAATAAGGAGGGGGGAAATGAAACAAATTACCAGAAGCGGAGACGAGAGGCTGGAGAAGCAGAAGCTGGCAAACGAATACGAAATGCAGAATGAAGATTGTGTAGACCAGTCCTCTCCATGCCACTCCATCCCTTGCTCGCGCCAGAAATGAATTAGCCAGATTCATCACCATTCTTTCTTTTTGCTCCTTTCCCTCTCCTTCCGCTGCAGCTTTAAGCAATCTCGGGATTACGGATCCAATCTCATGGAAATGAACTCACTCGGCTCTGTTTCTTAGAAGTTCCGAAGAAGAAGAAGAAGAAGAGCAGAGGAGCACGAAGAAGCTCGACAATTTCGTGGGAATTTTTCAGTTCGGATTTTGTAGCGAAGAAGAAAACCGAAGTTCCACGAAGGCGTCAGGTAGACGAACTATCGACCTTTAGTTTGTTGTTCCACGTAGCCTCGACCAATCATTTATCTCCACGTTGACAGTCCGCGGCCTAACTTAGGTGCACGTGGTTGAGTGTCTCGTCAAATCACATGACGCCACGTGGATCAAAGAGTTTGCCTGGTTTTGATGCGGATGTCGTTTCACAAGCATATTTTTTGGATGAATAAAAAAATCTAAATTATCTATTTAATATTACTATTTTGTAGGAAAGTGGGACGCTAAAAGGGAGCCCATACTGCCAAAGGTAATATAGCCTAGTGGTGAAACCACTGGACCAATTGAGCTCTGGATGTGGGAGGTCCTGAGTTCGATTCTCAGTGGCGCCACTTGAGCGTTCCCAGCGGCACCCTTGGTATTGGAGGCGAAGCCTCCCCGATGTTGGTAGCAGAAAGCCCCGATTAGTATGCAGGTACCCCCAGTGGTTTAGTAGGCCCCGCTGTCGCTCAAGCGGCATGTAGGGCTGAGGTTCCCTAGGTTATCAAATAAAAGGGAGCCCATACTTGATACTTAAATTAAACGTGATTTGTCAATGTCCATAGTCATAGACTCATAGTGTCATACAAGTTCCCGTCGTTCCCAGCGGCACCCTTGGTATTGGAGGCGAAGCCTCCCCGATGTTGGTAGCAGAAAGCCCCGATTAGTATGCAGGTACCCCCAGTGGTTTAGTAGGCCCCGCTGTCGCTCAAGCGGCATGTAGGGCTGAGGTTCCCTAGGTTATCAAATAAAAGGGAGCCCATACTTGATACTTAAATTAAACGTGATTTGTCAATGTCCATAGTCATAGACTCATAGTGTCATACAAGTTCCCGTCGTTCAAACCTAGATCAGAAATATTGAAATTATGATAATCTATATCGACATCATGACCTCTATTAGCCAGAAAATCGGTCGCCTTGTTGCTTTTCCTGTAAGTATGAGAGATTTTCACCTCCCAGTTTTGATGAAGAAGGCTCTGAAATTGCCTTGTCAAACTATAGTACCTCAATTGATTGTGCTCATAAGAGATTAGGATCTGAATAGTAGTTAAATAACCTAAAGCCCACGCACTGCCCCTTTCAGTTCGTCTCGCGTTATGGTACAAGACCCCAAGCTTTCTACTAAAGCTCCTAAGTATTTTCCCGTCCAATCGCGAATCAAACCACCGACTGCCTCACTGATCCATCTGCTTGCACACTCACCTAGTCTTGTGGAGGAGGCTTCCAGGCAAGTTCTTCTCCCACGTGTTGTCGGTCAGTGGCTTGTACAAGTTTGTCGTCTGTTTGAGCTCGGGTTATAGTGGACGTCTGCATGACATGAGTCCTTTGCTAAATCATCATTATTTTTTCTTGAGAGTTTTACCCCTCTGTATCTGACATTTTCACTACTCAAAGGTCGTTTTTCCAAGAAATCCTTTACTACCAACTTTAGGATGTGTCAAGATCTATAATTGGAATTAAGGCCATATCTCTCTTCTGTCCGGCCTACAAATGGGAAATTTGTGTTACCTCATTCCACCAAACCATCTCTTTTAGGGAAAGGGAGACTTCTTATTCAACCCTAATGAGATATTTATGTTGCTCTAAAAAAATTACTCTGAACTCTTCTTTGTTTCTTTTGGCTTTTTTCATAAACATTTCCATTTTCATACGTCAAAGTTTTCAAATTTGTTTACTTGGTAAGGTTTCTTCTCCATACACTCTTTCCTACTCTTTTATCTCATATTTTGTGAGTTTTTTGGCCATGTCGAATTCTAGATCATCATAATGGGTGTGTCTTGGCGTCTCTTCTTTTTACCCTTGCATGTCACTCCAATCGACGAAAGCCTTTCTGGAGAGGAGGAAGAGAAGGTGTCGACCATAGGCGGAGGGAGAGCCAATGGGATGTGTTCGAGGACACATGTAACTTTTGGGGTAAGAAAAATATCCACATATTTGCCCGCATCAATTACTGAACCCATGATTCCTCAATACCACTACACCACAAACCATTTTAGTGAATAAGGTAACATAAATTTTATTTATAGACTATAATCCAAATTCCTAATTAAAACTCCTAATCAATTCGATCTCTCTCGTGCAATTCTTTTTTCTCTACCACTACACCGCAAGTGTAGAATGAGCATTTTCAGCTTTGAGCTATATAAAGAACAAGCTTTGAAGTCGAATTGACGACCAGTTTGTCAATGACTGTTTAGTTGGATATATTGAAAAAGACTTGCTTAAGAGTGTAATCAACGAATGTATTTTGCGTTTCTTTTAGAATATGAAAACGAGTCGTGTGGTTGCTAGTGAAACAAGGATTGTAGTAGTCGGTTATTTCTTTCTTATATATGAATGAACTATTTGCATATTATTAGTTTTAATTATATTTAATAAATAATTACTTTATATATTTATATTTTGAGTAAAGGACGCAGGTGCTTTTGAATCCTGGCTCCGCCACTGGTGTTGACAAGGTTCGAGAGGACCTTTCCCCAACACTAGTTCTACCAGTGAAGATGGAGAGATCCATGTTGTAAAATCAAAACAACAAGAGAGTGGCATTGGTGGTGTCACTATTTCATATAAGGTTAGAGAGCAGGATATTACAGTTTGGCGGAGACATCGTTCGGTTGGAGAAATGTTTTTTATCTAGTATTACTTTGACATATTGGTCGGTCTATCAAAGAGATGGGCTCGAGAATCAAGAGGAACGGATGATTGTAAAGACGTGGCAAGAGATGTGGACCAATGGATAGGCCCAAAAATTATCTTCCATCAGAGTATTTAGGTTTCTTCCCTTTACCATGTCAACACACATACTCTGACTTGCTGGAGAGCTCAACTTTCCCCCTCATCAGGGGTCTGCCAGTTATTGGGATGGTCATAACCATAGGGAACTGCCATGATTCATCGACAAGGATAAATATGTGGTCGTTCTACAAGGTAGTTTGCGTCTCTTTGTTGTCCTATAAGGTGGACCTTTATTAGGTTGTTGGAAGCTTCTATGTGGTTTCTAAACCCCCAACCATTGGACACAAATGCTAGGTTTTGCATACTAGTAAGATCTTGTAATGGAGGCCCCTTACTCTAACCTCTTTAGGTGCATCTATATGGCTCACATAGTTGGGGAGCCTATAAAGTATGGCTGGGGAGATTCAGAGGGTTTTCTAGCGATGTGATTGGTCATGATGCTACTACCCCCGTGTGGGTGTTGTCAATAGTTTGCATGACTTATCTAACTACCCCATTAAGAGCTAAGTATAACTCAGAATGACATTGCTAGTATAGTGGCTACCAAGGTTGTATTCCACGGGTTTGATACCCTAGATTACTTCTCACTTTGTTGTTATCTTGTCAACCTATTTAGGTTTTTGGGTTGGAGGTTGATCGGAAGATAATGGTGGAAAAGGCAAAAATAAAAGCAAAGTACTTCGGGGTGCCACCCTCGCCCTAAACTAGGTTCATCATCTAAATGGATAACTGTATTGGGTTTATATGATAGGATGCGAAACTCTCTAAAATGGGAATTTCAGTGATTACTCTCCATCCTCCTAACACGGCCACAAAGACTCAATGTTACCTTAGTCTAAGTTTACATGCTAGGGTTTCTCCCATAGTTCCTCTCAATAGGTTTAACCTATCATGGATACTAGAAACGTGCTTTGATCATAACGTGTGTGACTTCTTTAGCATTTTTTTAGGAAGGCATTCCTATAGGAGGGTTTTAGTCGCCACATCCACTATCATTAATCTGCCAGTTGGCACTACCCAGTTTAACCCTAAAATTTCCACCTAGTGTTAACTCAGTTGTAGGCTAGCAGGGAAGAGTTGTGCGACTTAACCAAGCATAATTAAGCATAAATGAACATAAATTCACCAAAACAAACATATTTATTGATAAACCCTAACACAATTACATCTACTTTCAAAACCTAAATCTAGCGTTTGGGGGGGGGGGGGGGAGAAGAAGATACATGGAAGAAAATAGAAGAAATCTTGACGTGAGAGAGCTCTCTTCCTTCTTCTTCTCTCCCTAACTTTCTCTCTCTTAAAATAAGAAATCTTCAATCAATTTCAGCTCTCAATGTAGGTGGGACCCCCTATTTATAGATTTCCAATATTTCGGCAAGTTCACGATCATGTTGGGAGACGTCGCGGGTGCAATCTGGGAGGGGAAAGCCACGATCTTGAGCTTGCCGCTCTGCGCTTTGAAAGTTGGGAAGTTCACGGTCTGAGTTCACAGAGGAGCAATGTCATATGATAGGATGAGAGAGTATGAGACATAGGAAATAAAAAAAAAAGCAGAGGAGAGAACCATAAGAAGGAAATGAGAGTTGTTTGACCGATTGACCGCCTTAATTTCTTTTCATGTTTATTTTGTTATTTTACTTATTTACTCACAGTGAAATTATTGTTATAGTAACTAATTCGAGGTTCATTACACATATTTTTCCTTTCACATTTTGATCATTTAGCTTGATTTGAGATGTTATCTTAGCCTATTTTATGCTAGGTTGCGCTTTTTTGGTATATTCCGGGTCTAACAGCTAAATATAGCAAATGGACGGATGTTAGACCAATTGGGAAGAAACAGGACAAAAGTGCACAAGGAAAGGGGCCATTCATAACCAGGTGCTCCATTTCACGACTTGGTTGTGAGAGTAGCTGAAGCGGTAGTGAAAGCAGCAAAATCCCAGGGAGATCATATCATTGCACGACCATTTTCATGATTTAGTCGTGAGACGTGTTGAAGAGGTTCTGACTTCAACAAATGCACAACGTTTTGTGTTTGTGTCACGGCCAGCCAACACGGGTCACGACCCAGTCGTGACTCGGGCAACACAATTTTGACATGAGCAAATGAAACAACATCTTTGGTTGGAGTCACGACCTTGTTTTAGAGTGGATCGAATTAGGGGTGTCATAACGTCGATACAACTTAGATTAGGGGGAAACACGTCCGGGTGTATCTTCCCTCAATTGAAAC